TTTCGCCCGGGTCACTTAGTACTTGATTCAATCTCACTTATAAGAAAGTTCCTTACTGCTGTTTATATTCTAAATATGGAGGGGGATCGGGATTCTTAATCTTCTTCAATTGCAATCGACCAGGCTGTTTCCTTCTAAGCAAATCATGACATATCGTTGTGGTTAAAGGTTTTTCGTGTTATTATTCTAAACTAAATCTGAATTTATTCAACTAAGCTATGCAATAACTACGATGATCTTTAGTAGTTTACAATCTACCGATACAAAATACAAGTATATATCGAGTGGTACCTTCATTTTTTCATGAAACCAATATTTCATAAACAATTCCTGATTGGGATCACATTTTGAGAATGATCTGAATGATACCACAACGATAATGCAAATATAGTTCTGCACTACTATTCGATACATGCTAATCTACAAACAATATGTTGTTTACAAAATCCTCAGCATGTTTCGAAAGGTAACATTACCACCACATAGCAGTGTCCAATTACATACCAATACCGATTCTCGGTTTTTTTAGTAATTGATTTATCATCAATGCCGCTCGTGTATATAGGATAGGTATTAACTAATTTTGTAAATGTAAGGGATATGGATACTGTTACGATTTGTTCCCATTTCATGTGTGTTATTACTTATCGATCTTGATCGATAGTATGTTGATAAGTATTTGTCTGCCTGTCTGTCTGTTAGACACTTTCGTATGTTACGCGATATCTCACGAAAGCGAGGTTGAATCTGCTCCAAATTTTGCATGTGCATTCATCATATCTCGGACCAGAAGCCCATTGATTTTGGATTAATTATATAATAATTCGTATAATTAACTAGTTATTGATTAATTATAATATTTTTTTGTAATTACATAATTAGCGAGTTATTAATTAATTAATAATTTATTTTATTTTTTGAGGAAGATCGATAAGTCGGCGGTCTCCGATCGCTATCTCGTTTTAGCTTCATCGTGTTAAGGAAGCTTGAATTCAGATATTTTGAATTCAGTTAACGCAGCATCGGAAATTTATATTGTTTCTAATAAGAATATTTGTTGCTCGCTAAATAGCAACCACGGTATTCTTAGCACTGATAGGTATTACTAGGATAATTACACGGTAATTTTGCTATTTTACACACTTAATTATATTTGCCGATAGATTATAATATTTTAATTTATGATAGTTTTAGCGTGTACCTTCGAATTATTTAGAATGCCACATACCGTTCGACTTATTTATAGTTACATAAAGTGATGAATTAGTAATAGAATAGTTGGGTACGATTTCACATTGATCGAATCAACAGAAATTCAAATAGGTTTAAATGAATACTAAATTGGGTCATGAACATTTGTCAGGTTACCAGTCCGAGAAGTGGTAAGATATGAGATAAGAAACCAGCTCCCATTTTCATGTATATTACGAGGTTGATTAAAGACCTTAATATCAGACTGGAGTTCCGCCATCATGCCCATTCCATCTGCCTGATATTGCGCAAACTTATGGTTCACAAAATTCAAACAAACGATAGCAAATACTAAAATCAAATAAGAAAACTAAGAATTGTATCGCGAACGATCCACATACATATCAAGTCATCTGCTAGGTAGAAATTTACGCAGGGGTGAATAATTGATTTAATATAAAATTCACGTACAAAATATAACATGTCAGGTGGAAGAGTTGTGCACGAAATGAACGTTACTCCACTATTAAACAGAAACATTCATATGTAACGAGTTACGTGTTGCATACATGTCACATGATCATTGACAATTGTTCAAAAACTCCCACAAATTTATAGCACTCAAACATTTTGGTCTTCGACCCTACAACAATACCCATGAAATTTATTGAGGACGATAAAATGCGTAAAGTAATTCAATGACCCTTCTGCTATTGCATTACTCTCGCAAACATTTAAATCGTGGCTCCATGTCGCCCAATGGAATATCCACACTAATTGAGCGGCTTTGTTGTATTTCAAATTGCTGTTAAAGATTTTACTGTTTCACATAAGGGTTCCACCAAGGTATCATGGTTGCTGCACTTTTTGATTATTCGTCATTCATTTTAGTCTTCAACGGGGCCCCAAATCCACTTTACTACTACCTGTTGTTTGGCGATCTTGCTTACGCCGAGCCACCGGGCGATAAAGTCATCATCCATCACGTATCCAGTCACAATTTATAACAATAATTATCATTAAAAATTAGAAATTCGTTGGTTACTGGTTCTCATTCTTTTCTGAAGCATTTTCTTTCATAATAAAATGACAAAAAATGTGTACGACTACAAGAATGAAAAAAGCGGAACATGCTTTCACAGAGTAATTTCCTTGAAAAATTGACAAATATCTCTAGAATTGGAAAAAGTCATAATCGTTTATATATGAACAATATAGTATGTAAACTGTCTATTCTGTGCTAAACAAACTCCCTTAATTAAATAAAGCGACATAGTTGTATATTTCTCAATAAATTTCAGTTAAAACCAGCAACAAATTGTCTCTGGATTTATGGAGATATATAAAATATATATCAAACTTTTATAAAACTTGAATAAAATAGGAATAATTACCACTTCTGTCTAACTGACTTCATTTGTCACTTTCATAAATGTTAAGCACAACTATGCTTTATTTTTGTATCCTCCTCTTTCGGAAACATAGTAGGTCAAATCCACATCTATGTGATTCCAGTGAAGACAAGACCATGAGTCAACGATATTATTATAAGACAATATGAGTTGAGAAGTTTGTAAACAATAACAAGAGTGTTTTGATTTTTACAAATATATCGTCAGTAATGTAACCTGACAATTATTAAGCATTGTATGAAATGCATTCATTTCAATTGGCAATGCATTTCATATTTATTTATGCCATAAACAATTACAGGATAGAAGGCGGTTAAAATCAGGAAACAGCGTTTCCGTTTTCAATAATTTGAATTCAATAATATTTGAGGTTTCTGAAGCAACACAAAGTCAGCATATATTGAACATGGTGCTTGTGAACTATATATATATTATTTTTACTTGACTAAACGCGGTGTGATCATCCATTGCACATGGATTATTATATAAGAAAATTATTTAAAATTGAATCCAAATTGAGTGGGCGACATTTATTTAGCTACTGGAATAACAAAACAGTCGATAAATTTTTCATCTTCCGATTCAAAGAATTGTCTGCTTTAAAAGTCATGGTACACCGATTTGGTACGATTTTTATGCTAATCGGGCTGTTGGATTGTAGTATGTATTAACTTGACATAACAGATTCAAAATCTTGGTTAAGTCAGTTCAAATTACATTTTATACATATCTAGATTTTCATGGAGGGTACAATATATTGAGATTATAGTCTTTTCAAACCGAGTGAGTGACTGGTTGACTGCACGATCGTTAACTGTAAAAAGTGTGAAACGAAAACATTTTTGAGTGATTGGATCACATCAGTACTATATTGGCAATACATAACACGCGACCATGATTCATTGAATGCAATGTGAGAGGCGTAGGATAGATGATTGTCGGAAATCCTTTCCCAAACATCGTCACAATGAAGCGTGGCTTTCTCGGATATTTTGGCCGCTCAAAATATTTTTCTATCAAGATTGTGCTTAGTCTACTCGCAGAAGAAATTTTAATATGACTAGAAAAGATTAGTTGTGTATTTGATAGAAGAAATATTTATATATATATATGGGAAAGCTTAGATATATATTGTTATGTGTAGCAAACGGAAATCACTTAAAATAATACTGAAATTATGGAACCAGTTTCGATAATACAGTTTTCGTACGGCATGGGTGAATATCTCAGAAGCTAAATAAGTTGAAGTGTATCAAATATATCTAGCCTCAGTATTACGAAACTAATATCCCCGACCTTTCAAATTAGATATTGGCCTTTGTTTCCGGCAGCTTTTCGTCCTCATTGAAATTGAGTGCTAACTTTGTGTGGTAATTTGGGTACGATTGGTTCTTGCTGCAGACGAAAATAAGCTTGACATGACTTCATTGACGAGTGAGGCGTGCAAAGCAAGGAAGGATAGATATAGTCATTTTGATTTCGTGATAAAAATCACGAATTTGTAATCATTTCTCGCCCATGTATTTGAGTCTGTCCTCGATGCCTCGGGTTTACTTGATTGCAAATTGACCCCTTTGAAAGATTGTTTCGCTTGTAATAAATGATATTTTCAGCTCTTTTTACCCGTTGCGAGGGCGAATATCAGTATTTTTTACAGCATGTGCATCATGCCCATACGTTGAACGAGAAAATAAATAATAGAACGTCGTGGTCCGAACCATGTTATTTGTGCAATCAATACTCCCGACCCTGGTTTTATATTACTAAACCTGTGGGAATTGTTGTTGATGATGTTTTATGGCTCATATAGTATTATTGATAATTTGTGAAAATGATTTTATGGCTAAAGTCGGTCGTTTTTCCAAATTTCGATCCGGTACTGAGCTAAAAAGTGACGCGACTTACTACTTTTGTCGTGACATAATCTTGATATTAAGAGTCAATTGTAAACAGTATTATACTGGTTCTTATAGTATTTTTGTGGCATTGACCAATGAGAAATAAAAATGCCACCCTTGGTCCTTTTTAAACCCGATGTGGCTTACAATTTTTGTCATCCTAGTATTGAAGCCGAGCGAAAACATCAATATACTATACGCATCAATTTCTATTCGCTTATTACTTTCATCATGTATAAACGGCTCCAATTCTCGTGTCAATGCGAAACCATATTTAGTTTTTTATATAAATATGCGGCAGTTCATTTCATACATTTGGATAATGAGGATTCTTGCGAGTGAATTCTTGGTGAGAGCTAGTAGACCCTGAATGAATGAATGCCAAGAAAATGCTTCAATCACCGGATATTTGGAACGATTGATAGCAACTGCATATCGTTTTAAACATATGCTTATTATAATGTTTACAAAATACGCTGTCGTTCATATTCTTAGCTATTGTAAATTTGAAAGGAATAAAACTCCTTAGAAAATATTGAAACGGTTCAGAAGAAAATATAGCTAACATGGACTCTTATGCTGAACATAACTTTCAATGGTATAATTATAAACGTCCCACATTCTGTGATCATTGTGGGGGTCTGCTGGTTGGTGCGACGAAACAAGGGAAAAGGTGCAGGCGTGAGTAAAATATATACGGTATTTAAGTTGTACAATGATGAAATTTTAATCCGCAAGAAAAAAAATCTGTGAATACCAAGCGATCTTATACGCGGGGCTGACTCGGGTAGAATATTTGTAGAGTACTCGTTTTTATTTTTCAAAAAACAACACAATTATTATGATATTCATATTACTTCAATTACTATATGACATTTCAGGGCGCTCCAAAAGTGTGTGTACCAATATGGGGGTAACTAATTTTGTTCGCCTACTTTACATCAAGTTGTGTAAAGGGAGTGGAACTTATGGGCAGGGGGTATATTCACTTGGCTAACATAGACAGTCCCCGAACTCGTAATAGAACTAAAATATCGAAAATCGGAATAAAATTATGGCCTGACCCGAACCTGGTACATACACTGCGGGAGTGGTGTGCATATATATATATTTTAGTACTTTTGACTACCATGTATACAATTTAGGGTGCGATCTCGATATTCACGAAAAGTGCGAAGAAATACTTGAAAAACCCTGCATTGAGTTGGTAAGTCAGATATTTACTTGTTCCCACCATCCCATATTCTTTTCTCTTCCGCGACCTTTGTGGCAGAAAACAGCGACAGTGGAGTGAGTAATATCAGTTTCTAATAAATAATTCATACGGAACCTGCCAGTTTGCAAATAAAAAAAATAATTTGCAATAATATGAGATACCATTTCACGGATTCTTTTAAACCGTTCATCACTGCATTTCAAACGCGTTCCTTAGTATATAGCGCATGGTGTTTGAAATGAAAGTGTTAAAATAATATTAAAAAGGTTGCCTTAAAGCCAGTCTGTATATGAATGCCTCCTCAGACTAGTGCTTCCTTTTTCTGTTACAATACATGACGTACACTTTGCAGTGTAGCGTCGCTTTTCGCTCAACTCAGTCTCAAATACACTCAAAATAGATGAAATCTAAATTCTATTATGCGTGTTGTTGATTCTAGCTTCGATAAAAAGATTCAAAATTCTGGCCTTTTATTATTTATTTGCCCAGGTGACAGGACATCACAACTTTCGAGAAAAGACTTTCACACAACTAACATACTGTGACTTCTGCAAGAATTTGTTGGTTGGATTTATCAGACAGGGAATGAAATGCTCAGGTTTTTTCGAATTTATTTTCAATGGAAATTGGGATATATTTATTCTACCTTCTTATAACGTTTGTAATAGAACTCAATTGTTTGTAGTTGCATACAAAGTTACATGTTATGTTTTGTCTGATTTATAGGGGCGATTGACCATTTTTATAATATCGATTACATTAGTTGATTTGCTAGCTATAGTTTTTGGCTACTCTTAAAATAATTATCGTGTTCTCTTTTCAATGCTACTTCATAATCACAAAATGAATATAAAAAATCTACCCAATTTATTTAAATAGACCGTGGATGACGTAGAGAGGTACCAACATCATATTGAAATATTACATTAGCGATTTACATATATATAAACCTTATTATTTTCCTCCGGTCTTCAAATACGCTGGAAAGACGTGACAGGCTTATGGCATTGGGAAATATTTGTAATGTTAGCTGTCCAATTTGTCGAAACTGAAGAATTGTAGATTTACCCCTTACCGACACAAATTTCTTTATCGATTTAATGTATGAGCCAATAAAAGTTTAAGCAGTAACTGTTATGTATAAGAATGAATATATTGTCCCGGTAAAATTACTCTCCATTTTCTCAAAGAATGTGGAGCGAATGTGCATGAAAAGTGCCAAGAAAAAGTTGAAGCCTTCTGCAGACAAACACAAAGCAGATTAAACAGAGAAACTGTGTAAGTAAATCATTCTTTGGTTTTTGAAAGGAATAAGCACATCAGTAAATAACATTTGCGTTGGAGATAGCTTTAGGTTACTCATCTTTTTTATTTTACAAAGGCTCATTAGCTTCTAAAATGATAAATAATGGTAGTTAATCAGTTATGTCCAAAGGAGGACGATTACTGTCGCGTTTCCTAGCCTTCATAATAATATATCTCCAAGCAATTCATATTGCGTCATCCGAAGAGTTTATTTAACTAAATTATCCATATTTTTCTCTATTTAGGCCGAAAACTAAACCACCACGATCGCCATCGCCGAGGCCGAAATCGCCACTACCGCCAAGTGAATTCCGTGTTGACCAACCTGCCGATTTTCAAGTAATGAAACCAAAATCACGGACTCCTTCAGTAAGCAGATACTCAGATGATATGGATTCTTATCCAGAATGTGATCACGGTATATACATTAATGTGACGCTAAGGTTTTTTATTCTGAAGAATTTTTTTTTAGTGAGTCCACGAGGATATGATAACATCAGCTTTTAAAGATATAAAAACGATTATCTCTAGAATTTAGCTTAGACATTTTATTTTTATATATATGTACAAGGTTTTGTACGCTTTTCACTCCAAAAAAAGCATGAACTCCTTGGTAAGGCGCTACCATACTTTGAAAAAGCTAGACTGTTATGGTTCATATTGATTCTCCAATATACTACATCATAGATATTACGATATATGATTACTTGTATTTTTATATTTAACCTACGATGCAACAATGATAAGAGCGGCGCTTCAATCACTAAACCATTACACCCAGAAATTAAATAAGTATGTATGGAAAATAAAATGCAATAGGAAGACTTGTAAACGCTTTTTAAGATTCTATTGGCACTTCATCTTTGAGCCGACAGGCGTCTTCTACAACTGGTGCATCAAGCCGCCATGATTCAACCAATACACCTAACACATCGTATCCTTCAACATCGAGTGAAGAGCCAAACAAAATTGAACAAATGAAGCAAACGGTTGGTACCAAATTCGAATATTAGCATAAACAGTGCGTTCTTTGTATGTCCTACCTCTCCAACTCTAAAGTAGTTCCACAAATTATTTCTCATTCTAGGTCGACGATGTGTTCGGAATAATGAAGAATACCTTCAATTCTGCTCTTCATAGGGGAGAAAATTTGGACAAGTTGCAAGTTGGTATCAAAATAAAAATAACTTGAATCGACCCGTCATCGTAATATGAACAACAACGTATCTAGCAGAAAACAAATATTTGTAACTGTATCTTCTACAGCAGTGGTTCTCAAACTTTTTGAGTCGCGCACCCTTTTTAGAATTTGTGAAGTCTCGCGCCCCACCTCAAAAATAACTAGATAACAATAGTTACAAATAATAGATAGTAAGGTGAAAGTATGTTTTATTAAAAAAACACGTGAATGGAATGTAAATATCCAAAATAAAGAAATGTAAATATCCAAAATAAGTCGGAAATATCAAATGTAACAAATATTTTTTCTTTCAATTAGCTTAACGCCTCAAAAAATTGTCCACGCCCTCCTACGTTTGTTTCTTACTATGTATCAAATTCTCAATAAAATTGTTAAATTCATTCCATTGTATATGCAGATCTGACTCGTACAAATTAATGATTTCCAAACTCTATTGTATATATTTTAGTTTAAGTTATGCATAACATGGTATAGTATAGATTGCACATTTCATTCTACAGAAAAAGTCAAAAGATTTGGAGGAGAGAGCTAATCTTCTGGAAAAGACAGCCAAAAAAGTAAAATACAAGATGATGTGGAAAAACTACAAACTATGGGTCGCCTTAGCTGTTGCTGCCATTATACTGATTGTTATTATATCTGTTGCTGTGGTATTTAGTAAAAAGACTTCCTAACTGAAATGCACTTTGTCTGCACGGAGTCTTTTTAATTTTCAGCGTTTGCGATTTTGCTCTGAATGGGATTTGAGGTCACTCTTGGGGATAATATATTCGGAATTATACCAGTTCCACTTCGTCTATCCCAATTTTTTACTAACACTTCGTGATGTTGAGTATAGATAGAGAAACATTCAGATAACAGGTTGCCAATGCTCCCATGTTCTCCATTTCTTACCCCGTAAGGATGGTGTCAAATTATAGCAGATTATACCAAGACCATAATAACCACGGTAAAATAAGAACAAGACAAATTTCCAAACAAAGAAGTTCATTTACCTCAAAGAAAAGGTTGAAAAGCTTATCGAACATTACACCAATGCGTGAATAAAAAGTTGTTCTGAGATACATTGCTTATATCTACATGAGGCATGACCCTAATTGCTGACAAATAAATTGATAAAAAAATATTATTTAATTTTATGCAATAAATGGGTCTACGATAGAAAAAGATTTAAAAATAGTAAAAGAAAGGAATTGTTCTTAGATTCGGCCTTGCTTAGATCAGGGTTCCCAAAGTTGACCGCGAGTCAAATTTCGAAGCATAAGGATATTCGCGGGCCAGAAACGGGAAGCGGCAAAAACGGCTAGGGTTCAGAGAAAATTTTGAAAAATAGTCACTAAAATAGGCTGCAAAATTGATTTTATATACACTCAGCATAGCAGTTTTTTTTTAATAAAATTAATAATTATAATAGTCAGGTGATAGGATACCCGAGGAATAACAAGCACGACTTTCAACAAGGAATTTGTAACTGATAGTCACCAATAAAGTTACTTGCTCATTTTGCATACTTGGCTACTTATGGTTTGTTTTGTTACACAAAAAACATCCCAATGTATATAATATAAATATAAAAATACGAAATTCCAACATAATTAATTGTGTATTTTTGTACAAACGTGTAACTAGGGTTGGCTCGAAATCAGATGTTCAAAACGTGGCTCCAGTTCATTACATTGTATCCACAACAACGCATTCAATTGATTATCTGCCAATCTGGACCGAAGTTTTGATTTGTTCGTTTTCTGAAATCGTTAAGCCATTTTAAATCGTTACGCGGGCCGTAATTGGCCCGCGGTTTGGGAACCCCTGGCTCAGATAAATTAGTATAGCTACATATTTCACAATTTTTTCGTGAAATAAAGGAATTATTAGGGTGGAAACTGTCCAATTAATTTTAATTAGTATATTTTGAGTCTTCAAATTTAGAAAAATCCAGTCTTTCGCTTGTATTTAATAACACTGTAAACGGAAAATATCTGAGACGAGAATTATTGACCCTATTAAAAAAATAAATACCAGTTGAAAATGTTTTGAACCGGTTAAATTAAAAAACGAAATAAAAAATTAAAGAAAATGAATAATACATACATCTCGTTTATTTTTGTATACAATTGACGCAAAACAATCATTGCGTTCAAAATTCAACATTTAGCTGATTTTGACTTTTGTATAAAAAAACCATAGCAAAAAATGACCCCTGTCGTTTCCACAGATGTCGGTCTAATTGTGCGAGTAGAAATGTGAAGGTTTACATATTTCACTTTTCAAATTGTATTTAAAATGCTTTCAAGAATTCTGAATAAACACATACATACAAATCAATTCCGCTGGATCAATTGGTAGACTGAAAATTTCATATTCATTCCAGGGGAAGGAAACCCGATAGATGGCGAATCACTGGTCACGGCCTCTTCTCCAATGACCAGTTCATGGCGGGCATGATAGATAGAATGTTTTGCAAACACCGCAATACACACAAATCTAAAATTGAGAATTCTAGAGAGCGAGCAAAACATTCAAACAAGTTAAAGCATGATAGATATAATGTGCCCGCTCACCTGCACACTCACAAAACATACAAGAAACACAAACCTATTTAAACAATAATAATAATAACCAATTCATTCTGATACAGTACATGAGCATTAACCGTCTTAGACTTAGAGGGATGCAAATATGAAATTCAATTTTCAATCTTTTCGACCCCCCCCCCCCCCCTTTGGAAATGTAAAAAAAATAAAATCATTTTTCTGTAGCATAGATAGCAATTTACCAAGACTACTAAAAACACGCGTATACCAGCGTTCAATCAGACCCGCTGCGAAGAAAAATTTCGCCCCTGGCATCCAGCAACCACCGTGGCCATTGTGGTAATAAATCGTTAAATGGATGAAGAAATGTTCTACAGCACTGCAAACATTCAAACTTTATTAACTTAAATCCAGTGCGTCAATTCCATATGAAATAACTGTACCACACAATCAAACACTTTGTGTCAGAAATCATCACAAAATATGTCAATTATACCAAAATTTCTACATTTCAGGCCATTTTTTATAAACCATCAAAAACCTGGTTGAAATTTTAAATTGTTCGATGAAATGAATGCAGTCCAATAAAATTCCAATGTCTTTTGATATCAAAAATAAAATAAAATTACTTTCACTACACTTTTTAAAAAATTGATGGAATTCAACTTTTGCTTGGAATGGCCCATAACATGTCGCTGTAAAAAGGCTATGGTAACCTAAAATTTGCGCTTTCGTGTTAGCAAACTCATCCACCATCTTCGTCATATCAATTTGCTTCAAAAATCAGTAGCTTACCTGTGATAATTGTCATGTAAGTTTTGGAAGAAAATTCATTCGCGCCGGCGCCATCACTTTTGGAGATTGAACACGCATCTGGTTTTCTACCGATACCACCGGTGCTAGGCTTAATTCCTCCTCAGTTACGTTCGGTATTAATTGTTTCAATTTTGGTTATATTTCGTTTATCTTGGTTACTTTAATTTTTTTCATACGTTCTTCCTCTTTCGCCCTTTTTACTTCGTTTTTGTGCGGCACTGAGAGGTTTTACTTTCGACATCATTCTGACAGCCTTCGTAATTTCGCCGGTGCGATCAAACCACACGACGCCGAAAATCAACGACTCCGGCATTGTTACGTAATAAAACGATTTGGGCAGAACTAACATCAACATTTATAAGATGTGCATTACTGCTTTTGCGGCTTGAATTTCTAAATTTTAACCGCTTGGGGCCCCTTTTCGCTGTGCCCAAAAATTCCAGCCCGAAATTTCATATTGAGGGGTATATTGAGCATATGGGGTTAATTGAGTACAATGTATAAAAACCTCGCTAACTTTTTTGTATGTTGAGTGAATGGTTTGTACTTTGTAGCAACAATATTTCATATCCTATGCTTCCATTTCATTGCGTATAACTCACTTGCCTACCAATGATAAAATTGTTTTAGATGTTTGTATGTGAAATTTTTTTTGTTCGTGAAAAAAATTGTTTTGGAAACTTTCACGGGACACTTTTCTGATAGTATATTTTAAACTTTTTGTGATGCCGTTTAGTACCCTAGTAAAGACTCTCTTTGCCCCAGTAGATAATTTTTGTGTAACTCATTGACTTTTTGTTTTATTGATGTTTAATAAAAATCGAGGTAAAATGAGTCTGTCGGAAATTTACCGTGGGGTAAATCGGGTATATGCATAAATGGCCTTTCCCACTGCTATAACACAGGAATATGAGGTTCTGTGTGACTATTTTGAGCCCTAACACTTTTTTGTAGCCTTTATCATGTCCATCTTTCAATATAGGCTTCTATTTTTAATGAATACGAGTGTAAATTCACAATGGGCGATTGTAGGATTTTGAGAAAGCAATTTTTTTCTTGTAACTAAAAAAATAGTAAAAAAGAAAGCTGTGGACAAGTCAAGCACAGAGTCCTACTGCACCAGTGAGCTTAGTGCATTTACAAAGGCTTTAGTTGACGTAATCACATTCACTGTCATCTCCGAAAACATGTAGTAATAATAAAAAAACAGCCGTCCCAGAAAATAAATTCAGGCGAAAACTATATAACGTCAATTGAAAGTATATACCATTATACTGATAAGATGGAGTTAAAACGGATATGATTGGTAGAAAAAAGAAAAACAGCAAATAGAAAGATCATAATAATAGTTCAGAAAAGCAGTAACAGAGTCAGAATTAGATTCGGCTTTATCGACGACGAGACAGTATATGAAGCAGAATTCTCACGTAGTACAGCTGATTATAACAGAGGACTAACTATAAGTAGCATATTCTGACATTAATGAAATCAAGACCTTGACTGGCTGGTTGAAATATGGGGAAAGGGAATTCCTTGGCCTCACCGATGTATGAACTTTGTATGATACCAGTGTATGAAAGAGCTCAAAGATTTTGTGTTAGATTTAACCCAAAATAGGAACATAAAAAGTATCTCTATCAAGGAAGTTGTTGGCCAAGTCAAACCACCCATTTCTAGTCCATAATGAACTTGTATTTAAACTAAAAGCCTATTTGTGGTAAAAAGTTTATGGAAACCATAATTGTGATCTATCATACCAAGTTTAAAGTGATGTCAGATAATTATGTTCCAAGGTTTTTGTAATTACTATTTTTTAAAATAAACTATATGTACCCAAGTTTCTCATGAAGGGGTTTGATTTGGTTCTAGGGCTTTCTTAGATTTGATTTAACTGGTAGATGTCAGTATACTTAATTATCCTCGAAAAATGAGGTAAATTGAGTATACTGACTTCCAAAAAAAATTGCATTTTTAGGTGACTTGAATAAATTAAATAAGACTCAAACTGTTATGCAAGGAAGTACAGAGTCAGAATGTTACAGTGAAACCATAATTTCATGGAGAATCGATTTCCCTCAGATTTTACACCCGTTCAAATGTCAAAAACTACTCAAATACCCCCCCCCCCCTATCTATTTAAAAAGTAGAAAAAAAGTCAGCGATAGAGAAGCCCGACCCGAACATAATGATTGACATTTCAGGCCAGAATGTGGCTAATACTGTAATAGATAGTACACAATTGTTATCCTTATTCTGTTATTGCTGTCTATTTAGCAGTGTTACTTATTACTGTATTAATTATTTTCATTGCTACCACATTGTTTTAATATCTGTAGTGTAACTTGTTAAATGAAATAATGTTTAGTGATAGGAGTTCATTGCTGTATGACATTTCATGGTGACAGCATAATGGCAAAGAAGCGTACTACTAAACAAAGAGCAGCTGCTAATGCAGCGAAAAACTCAAAGAATGCAACTGCTGGAAATAGGAAAATTGAACAGCAGAGCGATGAAGTGAACTTGACTGAGAATTTGAATATACAAAGGATGCGTGATGTTAAGAAAAATGTCCAAACTGCAAATATGGTGTATGCGCCTCCAAAGGGTCTTGTTAATTTAGGAAATACTTGTTTCTTCAATTCAGTAATGCAAAATTTATGCAGAACACCCGGGCTGCTGCAATTATTAACGCATGCAAGCCAGGAAAGTAATTTTGTTGTTGATGGAGAGAATATTCCTTCAATTCAATGTCGATTGCCACCACTTTGCAAATTAACAGAGGCATTATGTAATTTCCTAATCACCATGGAAGCAAGTGTGCAAGTTCCTATAAATAGCGCTGGTAGGCAAAGAAGTCGAACTGAATCTCCTAAGTCTTTGTTCAATCAAATCTGTACTGTTGCACCGAGATTCCGTGGATATCAGCAACAGGACAGTCAAGAAGTTCTCCAAGCTTTACTTGATGGTGTGAAAACGGAAGAGATAAAACGTCGAAAGCATGCAATTTTAGCAAATTTGGGACTGCTGAAGAAAACAGCAAAAGACATATCTCAAGACACAAAGGAAATGGTGAAAAATTATGGACGACAAGCATCAAGGATACCAACAATAGTTGACAGTCTTTTCAGTGGCACATTAGTTAGCTCAGTCTTATGTGATGAATGTGGACAGATTACTCAAGTAACTGAGGATTTCCTTGACATTCCTTTGCCAATAGTCGAAAGTGTGCAAGCTCATCATAATGTAAATAATAAGAAATCAAACAAGGCGCAACCTATCAAAGATGAATTGAATTCTGGTGAAGATAACAAACATGAAATTACTAATAAGGTGACTTCTTCAAGTAAACATGCAAAGAAGAAACAGAGACAGCAATCTCGCAAGAATCACCGCCGTAGAAGAACAAAGTCTCAAAATATTGAAGAGGCTTCGGAAAATGATGAAATCAAAGAGATAGTGACTGAAATGCAAAGTATGGGAATCAATGGTCGTGTTGGTACAGATTTTAGTACTAATCAAGCCAGTAACTGGGGTAACACAAACTCTGACATAGAGCCGGAAGAAATAAATTCAGAATCCAATAATATCGTTTCAGAGCTACAACAGTGTAAAATTGTATCTGCTGAAATAGGTATCATCGAAGACACTGATGAGAAAATTGAGAATGAAAACAAGAAGAATGATGTAGTTTCAGAACTTAATAATAACTATTTAGTCGGTGAAAAAAATTCTCCTGATACTACTGCGGTGGCGGAAAATGGCACTGCCATAAATGAAACGACCAGTAGTTCATGCGATATTCTGGAAAATAAGGAAACTCAAAATGGTGGGGAAAATTTGCCTGATATTACCACAAAGACGATAAAAAACACTGTCGCATTTGAAGAAAGTAGTAGCTCATGTGAGGATATTTTGAAGAATAATGAACAAACTGAAGAGATTCATACTCCTGCATGTACAGACGGAAAAATTGTAGCAGAGGATGATGTTGTACAAATGCAGTTATCAAATGGAAATGCTGTTCAATGTGGTTTAATGAATGGGAACGCCGAAATTAAGCAGTCTGAAGATGAGCAAAACGCCGATTCTACCCCTAGTGATCACACTGAGCCATCTAGTGGCAATGATGAGAAGGAGGAGTCTGGTAACGAAATTGCAAAAGATAATTGCCCTTCACTATTTGAAACACCTAAAAAAAAGCCTGAAGTCAAATTCACAAGCTTTTGTTCGAAGTTGCCAATCACTGTGTCACCAAGATACGAACCTGGAAAACAAGAATGTTCCATACAATCCTGCCTCCACAAATTTACAATGGCTGAAATGCTGACAGGGAACAATAAATTTGGGTGTGAGGAGTGCACAAAGCGGCAGAGAAAGCTCAGCAATGATAAACCAAAAACTATGTATTGCAATGCGAGCAAGCAAATGATGATCAAAACTCCGCCTCTAATTTTGACTCTGCAATTAAAAAGGTTTCAACAATCCGGCCGTAGCTTGAGAAAATTCAGCAAAAGGGTCGAAATTCCTATAGAATTTGATTTGTCCCCATTCTGCGCTAGTGATGACACAAATCACACCGATGATAATGGTCAAATAATGTATAGAATCTATGGCATTGTAGAACACTCTGGCAGCTTATCTCGGGGACATTACACTTCCTATGTTAATGTTCGTCCTGTGAATAAAAAGTTATTGCAAAAACTAGGACTAAAATGTGAACTCAATAATATGAAATGTGGTGATGAATTCCATGATCAATGGTTTCATATCAGCGATACTTCAGTATCGAAATGCACTCTTGATAGAGCTCTTAATTCAAATGCTTACTTATTATTTTATGAAAGAATATTTTGACAAATTAGATTTCTTGTAAAATTTATTTGTTCCATTGAATTAGGTTCATTTTTCTCAGTAAGCTGTTCATATATAAAACAATATTATGATTTTTAGCCAACTCTCTGTAATAGGAAATGATTACCTAATTTAACCATGCTATGCCTGAAAATAGCAGCTACCTCTCTACGAATAATTTAAAAAGCTTGAGACCTTCTGGCTAGTGTTATATACTGTTACTCTGTCTTATTATTCCTACCAGGTATTATTGTTCAGGCGCATAATATTCAACAACAGACCTTTTGGTAGTGTAGGCGTGATCTCTACCCTTCATAATCATGTTTTCAATGTAGAATTTTGGTTTTACAGAATCATGTCAATCCATTTGCATATTTTCTTTCCTCTAGTCAATGATGTATTATAGTGCAATCAACCCTCTGGTTATTATTGTTGTGAATTTGGGTTGGGAAAGCCTTTTCTAAGGCATTAATTAGTTATTGTCTTCACAAAAGCTGACAAATTATACCACAGAAAAATACAGTTGAAAAAATCAGCCCCCCAATCTTGGCCACAAGTCCTTATAATGTTGGGCACTAGTTCTTTAAAACCAGAATGGGATTTCACCATGTGCAGCACTGACATTATTTATTTCTGCCTCTAGTAAATATCCTCTAAGTAGAGATGCTGCCCTTTAGAATCCAAAGTTAGGTTGGAGTTGTGGAGATTTCAAAAGAAACGCATGAATTCACGCTTGATACCGAAAGTGTCCCACAAATAACTAACATAGCATAAACTGGTATACAGCCAGTCCTTGCCAATAATTACTCTGCCCGATTGAGTATAGTAGTCGCTAAAACAAGATTTTTGGGATATGGCATTGAGCTTGATTAACTGTATTTCACTGTCAAACATGACAAATTTCCCGTTCCAAAAAAATATATCAAGCGTATCTGGTAATTCAGATAGTCATCTTGGTAAATAAGGAAAAAAACTTTAATATTTATCGCGGGGGAGCAAGAAGCTGATAAAACAGCTTATGGTTCGTTCGGTTACCAGTAACTGTCTGGTATAGGAATGAATGGTTGACCAGTACTTTTGTTAGATGCATTCTTCTATCCACCACATGATTGGAACCGGCACATGGTAATCAGAGGTCTGATGGCAAGCCTATTCCAATCCTAGCTTGAAGTGGTAAACGCCAAGTCAGTACTAATACTGCCTCATTGCTATTGACAAAATCTACTGTGCACTATTTTGCTTACAGATTCCTAAACTATATCAACTTGAATCAGTAACTTTAGAATCCTTACCCAATATTGATAAAATCCCTGGTATTGAAAACAAACTACGCTCTTGAATATATTTAAAATTATTATTAATTTAAAACTATAATGAAAAACTTAAAAACAATTGGAGCACTATTCCCAAATGGAATACCTATTTACGTCAACATCTTTTTAATTTATCATACAAATTCAGGCTTTTGCCCAGAGAATCTAGAGATAAATCTTTACTGTAATAAAACAATTTCAATTCACAGTCCTCTTGTTTTTGGCAACTAATTTGTCATGTTCATCCCAATATGCTTTCGATTGCATTTCTTTTAATCTCGAAACTGCTCTCTGAAATGCAAATTGTTCTTCTTCTCCAGAAAACACATTCAGATCTGTAGTTGTATCATCCTATCCAAATGAAAATAATACAATGTTGACACAGTTGAAGAAATCCCAAAGTGATGAGCATTTGTATCAACTCACTTGTGTCAATGCTAAGTCATCCAGGATCATTGTATTCTGGAGCATGACTTGAGTCTTTTGTTCTTCCGTTGCTTGTACAAATAAGTTTATTGGGTCAGGAACTGCACCAGACATTACTAACCCAACCTTGTTAATTCAAAATATTAGAAATGAAATTGATTGAAATCTTTGTACACTCCATGATACATCAGAAGTTTAAATTACGGAATATTGCCATAATATCGCACAAATTGATACACCGGTAAATTATGGGCAGACTCTTCAATTTGTCAAGAGAAATCTTTGCAGCACGACACAACACTTTCTACACATAACTTCTATTTTTGAGGTGTTGTAATGGGCAAGAATCCAAGATAAACACTCGAATAATTTTGTACTAAACATTTTGTGATGTTAGGTGAAATGCAAATACAGCTTATCAGTTTAAAGACTATCAATGTATTCTGGATGCTTGCTTTTTAAATCATTAACATCTAAGTTAAGAGTTAATATTGATCCTAAAAATATACCTTTGCGTCATAAAAAGTATCTATCAAAGTGATGAGTCTTCTAGCTTCTTGCTTTCGAAAAATGTTCAGTAGGGGTACATCACGGATTATTACCACATCAAATCGTTTAGCTAACTCAATGTAATCAACTGCGCCAACAGGCTGAAAAGAATGTAAATACTGTCTGTCATATTGCTAATAATGTGTGTTTGTGATCATTTTGCATTGTCGAAATGCATCCTGTAGTGTAGATAGTATTTAATTTATTGACAGCACACTGAATACAAATAAATGCCATCAATCATAGAAAATACTATTTAAATTTTCGAAATTGTAATCCTAGTTGGGACATCATGCAATATCACAAATGCTTGTCCAAGTTCTAGGGCCATTATTCGACTGTCATTTTGCATTTGAAGATAAATATAATTGCACTTTAATCTAACCTTCATACATATGTCTTCAAAACTAAAATCGGCTACACCACCATTGAATTTTGGAACAAATAAATCACGACCTAGCACTCGCAACGTTGTGGGCTTTGTTTCGTATTTTGTCTTCTGCAACGAGGCATGATATTTGAAAATATCGTCCAAGTTTGAGTTGACATCACCATCCGAAGATCTGAAACGAGAATACCGGTTACATAATGTTTGAAATTTTTCTTATAACTGAGCAATAAGCCCAATTTGATTCGTTCAGAAAAGACATACAGTAATATTCCTCAACAATTTCAGTAATATTTCAATTTATTAAAATCACCAACTTTTGTAGCTGAATTTAATCTTAATACAGGGTTTACTCATAAAGAAATGTATGGAGTATTTATTAAATTTCATCACCAAATATATTAGCTTTGAATAGGCAAATGTGTATAACTGAGCCTTTAGTTACCGGATACCTGAAATAGATGATTGTTCATTAGCATATTTCCAAACAAAACATTCCATATGAAATAATGATTTAATGTTAAAATAATGTATATTCAACAATATTTTTACAACTCACAACAAATATACTTTTCCATCACAGGGTGGACCTAAAAGTCTGTAATCAGTAAATGAGTCTATGCAATGTGAATAACAGTGATGGGTTAAAATATTTATAAATGGTAAAAAGTTTGATCGTTGTAATCCTCCTTTGTACAAATCTGCAAAAGAAAATGGAAAAAACATTAACCAGTGACAATAAAAGAATGTTCTTATCCACATACTGTATTTGAATATCATAGAATTTATACAACTACAAAAAAATGGAAAATATGCTAAAAAATATACTTCTTGAATAAAACCAGATACTAGTGGTTCTTACATGATATTCGAAACGATTACCGGTACTAAGCTCCGCAATAGAATGTCATGAATGAGTAAAAGTGTGGCTATAACCTTTCAAACGAGTAAAGCAATATAAAATTCTGCCAGGAAGTCGAAAAACTGTAATTTTCAACTGATTACCACATACCTTCAGGAGCTCTATTGCTTGTGGCAACCATAACAATACCGTTCTTAAATAACTCTGTGAATAGTCGTTTCAGGATCATTGCATCAGCAATATCAGTTACCTAAATAAGAGACAATAGAAAAAAAATCAGGTTACCTTTTACTATGCAAATTGAGTACGAAGATAATGGCCATTAAATAGGATAGAATAGGATTTACATATTTATCCGGGGGAGAGGAAAGCCGATAAGCTGGCTTAATCATATGGCGAACCACGGCCTCTCGCCCGGTTACCCGTCCAGGTCGGGTATGGGGTTAATTAGCTAGTTATTTTTATTTTTTTTGGAAGCATGGACTTGATAATGGAGGAAGCCGTAACCGACCAGCGGTTACGTGAACCACCCTAGTCCAGCATTCCTCTCGCACATGATCATCCTCGCATGGGATTCGAACCTGCGATCCCACGAAGGGTAATCAGAGATGCGGCGGCGAGCGTATTCCTAACGCTTAGCGTGATGCGCCACACCGCCGAGCGAGTTAAATGAAATTATATTCGGAGATTAAAACAGAGATTAGTTTCAAGTGTGAAAAAAGACTGGACTACTACATATTTATCAAATTTAAACAAACTGACCTGAAATTCATCAAAGCAAAGAAGCCATGTTTCATCACTAATTTCTCTGGCAACTGGTCCTATAGGATCATATGGTTGAGGTTTAGAACCATGTTGTCGAGGTATTGACTGTTTCAAGCGATGGATTCCTGGTAAGATATAAATCAGATTCAGAAATAATAATTAAATATTTCTGATTTAATATTTCAAGCTACCTAAGGTTTGTATTCACTCAAAATTATTAGCACATCTTTTTAAATATCAACATCCCATTGTCCATTTCTGTATTCATTCTGAATTAATTATATTATGAGACTTTCACTATGAAAAAGGTACGTATTAACCAATGAATAGTTCTGAAAATAATATGGAACTATGAGCAAGATCATTGATGAAGATCAAGAACAATGTAGGCACTAAACAACAATCCTGGATGATTCTGTGGATCACAGTCAAGACAGGGAGAAAATGTGCACCCATTGTAACATATCATGGTTTAGTAATTAGTGAGGAGTTGAGTTGCCACTCCTCTACTGCCACCATGCATAGCTTATAGATTAGGATTTCAGCATCAATGGTTCAAGCGATAATCAAAAGGGAGTCTCAAAATCTTCTTTCCTTTCCAGTTTGTCATAGATATCATATCTCAAATAGCATAAGACATGGAATGTTTGCTTTGCGAACAGTATGGTCAATGGTTAGTTAATAGACAGTCCTTCGAAATAAAGTTCACTGCTCTTTCATAATTTAGGCACTAAATAGAATTGGTCATCTTACTTTGAAACCTGTTTTGTATTGCTAGATATAGAACTTGTTCTATTCATGCAGCAGGTAAGGGTGTCAAGGTCTGCTAAATATCCTGTCGATCTTGCGACTAAAAATAGCTACTTCACACAATGAATAATTGCATACTGCATAATTTTCCATATATTTAACTTCACAATCTGGAATTAATTCGTGTTGACACTTTGATACATAATTAACGGATTATTGAAGAATCTAATTGATTTTTGGTAATTGGACGCCGGTATGATTAAGTCAACTATCAGCTTAAACAAATATGGTGGATAAAAATCCTACTTGCATGTACATCAAGCATGAATGCATGAAAATGAACACGTCGTTTGTTCTTAATTTTGCAGCAATGATAGAATAAATCCATTATCATAGTTTTCCCAGTTCCAACACTTCCATGAATATAAAGTCCTTTGGGAGGTTTAACAGCTGTTGAAAATATCTAAAAATGTGAAACATACTCAAAAGTGTAGAATAGAAATCACAGTTTGTCTGCATGAAAAGAATCGATTTAGGAGATAAAAATATGTTATTAAACGCTGTCAAATGTACACTTCGCTTTGTTGCTACAGCAAAGATTTTGACAGCCTATAGAGGTTCACACCATTCCCAGCCCCCTCAAATATAAATCACAAACTGTACAATTATAAGTGAAACTAGTTGTATCTACTCAGTGGTTAAGACCTGTGGCAATATAAGATGATGATTTCAGACTTGCCTGGACAGCGGGTATATGTCGGAGTTTCTAGTGAGATTTTGTCCGTTATTACAAGGTGAACTTTACTTGTTTACAGAATCATGATTCACACCATGCATGTGAATGTTTCTTTAGATAGGGATAAATATGAAATCCTTTTCCAAAAGTTGAAATCATTGGAATTTCCAATGTGTCAGCAGTCAGTAGAATAGGATTTAGATTTGTGACAATCCCAAAGAACACACTGCATATTATAAAACGAAGCTTTGATTAGGCATCACATCTTACATTTGAAAAAAATCCAGAAGAAGTTGTAACCGGACTATATTTTTCTACGTCATCATGTAGTTTATGGAGAAGTTCAATCACTTTTCTTTGTTTTTCATCTTGAGCTATTAAATCTTTTTCTAACAATAGATTATATATAGTTTCAGGTTCTGCATTTTGAACATGTGATTGTTCTTCAATGATGTTCTAGGAAAAATATAATTCACAATTTATTTGTATGAATACGCAACCAGATTCAATAGATTACATTAATTTTCAAATGCTGCAAGTGTATAATTTCACAAATTTGCTGAAGGCGATTAAATGAATTTAAGATACGAGTGGTAAGTTTATTTTTAATTATATAAAAGCATGTGAAACCTACCCTAATTTCTTCAAATTGCACTTTATTAAGAGAGGTAGAAGAAGAATAAAATTTAATTTGCAAAAAATTGAAGTCTTTCCCTTTTGACCTTGTGGCCAATCCTGAAATAAAAATATGATGCGGTATAATCGTTACAAATAGGAATACGAGAAGAAAACTCAATTACTTTTCATGGAGAGTTTTCATTTCCAAAATGAATACTTTATTTACCAGTTCGTTAGCCATTTAAGTTCTTATGCTAACGTAAATGTTTTCAGGTATTTTAATAACTAATCAATGTAAAGTCACAAATTAGAATCTATGTTGAATAATTAAACTGGTTTCATCAAGTACTAATCCATGCGCCTTCACTGTACAATTTCTTTTAGACTTATTTTTCTTTAAGTTGAAACGAAGATGCAGTAAAAAAAAAATTATTTCAGCTTCGTTATGGACCGCATAATATAGGCAACCTACGCTTAGAAGACAAGTTGAACACCCACTGACCTTTATATAAAATTCTACATCTTGGACACAGATATAAATTTCTATTCACTAGCCTTGTCACAGCATTTGCATATCTGGCAGATACTATACCATTTTGCAGTGAGTTTCTGAAGAAAACCCCTACCAATGCCATACAATGGCTTTCTAAAATCTAAATCGAAAATAAAACTCAACTAATCAACAATGGTGCATGAATCCAAACTTTCCATCAAGAAAATCGGTAACAAAAAACATTCGGACTTAATTGGAATCAAAAACAAAAAGAGTTACCGGTATTGTCATACAAAACACAGTAAATAAGCACAGCAGATACAGTCATACAATATTGACGAACAAAACTGGTCATCTCAAACTCAACTCATATGTTGAAATAATTAAAAACACATCTCTCATTCAAACTGAACTATATCATATAAAGCATTTGACCAAAGTGAACCTATATCTGGAATGAGCCCAATTATGTATAAACGTTACTATAGTATATATAACGCAATCAATGCTTTATAAAAACAGGTTATTTTTAAAGTGACAAATTCATCATGATGGTCAATGTGACACCAATCTAAGTGATATTTCGTTTCTGATGGTCAAAGTAACATTACAAGTACACATTGACATACATTTAATAGATTGCGAATTATCTTGCTTGTCATATGGACCTAAAAGACCCTGTAGGTTTCCCTCTCCCAGGATGAATGTAATTTCATATAACTTTTCAAATTTATTGTTCACATGAACCATAAATTTACTTTACTGTCATTATGCAATTAACAACAGAGATTTAAAAAACTATATCTTATCATTTTTTCATCGAAAATGGTAATTAAACCTCGTATTTTTATTCTTTTTGAATTGGTTCACACAAACATAAAAGTAGGAATCATTGTCAAGTGCTAATTTACTATATAAAACTGTTTTAGGCATTCAGCAAGAAAATGAGTATGGAATGAGTATTTTGACATGAAAAATAAAATATCACGATTCATCAATCACTTCTTCTAAATCTAATAGAGTCATGCTGTTAATATCTAACATCTCATTTTCCCCATCAATTTCTGTCTCATTTGAATCAATCAACACTTCGATTGAAGTGGATGAAACATTGTCAGTTTCAGTTCTAAATTTTGGTGTTGAATGAAAATTAAATAAATGATTTGAAAGGTGCCTTTTACTTTTGAATACTCCATCACAAAGATGGCAATGATGTCCCAATAAAACTGAACAATTTTCTACATGCAACTCATAAGGTTCTTTCCTTCGGTATTTTTTTCCACATTTTGCGCAGAGAAAGTTACAAGAGTTGCATTCATTTTTCATGTGTGTAATATAAGCACTACGGCTTTCATAAGATTTATTGCAATCATGGCAAGTGTGCAACGGTTTTCTCTCCGCATGCTTTTCTTTCCTATGAAGACTTAAACTGCGAGAAGATGTATAAGTTTTATCACATGAATTGCAAGCCAATTTTGGTGCATGATTCATGTGAGTCGCTAAATGATTCTTTAAAGTGCTTTTTTGAGTGAATTTTGCGCCACATTCAGAACACACATATGGCTTTTCTCCAGTATGAATTCTGCCATGAACAATAAGGTCTTTCTTGTAAAGAAACTTTCTTTCACACACATTGCAGACATGTTTTTTCTCTTCATGATTATGGTAATGTTTCTTCAACTTATTTCTGTTTTCGAAAACTTTCCCACAACCATCAAATGGACAAGCAAAAGGTGGTTCAACCGGAAATATCGAGTCATGTTCAACCACAGGTCTTCCACGATTCTGCATCTTGGGATATTTCGAAAGCAATGTGGTAGCTTCAGATGTAGTATCATTTTTTCCACCCCTTCGCTTTACAGAGAACAGCGATTGCAAATTGTCTACTTTTTCCATAGTTTTTTTCCGTTTATGTTTTACTTTTGTTTTGTTCTTCTCAGTAGTTGAAATTTCATTATGCAAATCAGCTGCTACGCTAGCAACAATAATATCAAATGCGCTAACATCATTTTCATTGTCAATATTATCCGATGCTGCTATTACTTGGGATTCATTGGTCATGTCGTATGAAGCATCTGTCAGCTCAACAACAATTTCTGCATCTTCTAGTATTTCTTCTGAGTTCTCATTATATTCATTATTATCCTCTTTTGAAGGAAGAGATACGCCAAGTGCGTAGCAAGATTTCACAAAATCATTCATTAAAGATTCATCGTTTACATCGGGAGGTTGACCAGTGTAAACATACAATAGTAAAGCATTGAATCCGGATACAGAAAGGCCTTGTAAAGCTAACTGAACAATCTTTTTCTGAGATTTGCCAGACTCTTTAACAATTATATCAAATAGAGTTGGACATGCAGCTATTAAAACACACCTATGAGCCCAAAAAACTGTTTCCTCTACTGAAATGCTTATATCACAAAGAGTGGGATCATTCAACATTCCAAATATTTGTGAAAGAAGATCAAAACAATGATCTTTCTGAGATGGAAATATCATGATTTACAGTTATCACCCAATATAGGAGATCTGAAAATAAAAAGAGTAAAATAAAATTTATTAGCATGAATATCCATATAAATAATATTAAATACAATAACAAAGAAAAATGTGGCAAGGTCTAATATTTGTTGTTAAATAATAAGAGGCAAACTAGCAACCTAAACATGATTCCGATATCAATTTTCATCGTACAAAATCAATATACGATATGAAATAAATAAAAGGCATGTAACAAATTACAAAAACTGATATCGGCTTGTTGCAGTTATTATATGATCATAGAGTTTGGTAACTACGGACACAGAGCTTCAGAGATCCTTCCGAGATGAAAAATATCATATCGAGCAACTTATATGATTTTGACGTATGTGCATTTCAGCAAATAATACAATATGGTTTGTGAAATTAGCTATTTTTAACACCAAATCATCTAATGAATCCAGAATCAGGAATAAAATTGTTATGGACTCGATTGCCTCTGCAGAAATGTGTATGTTGAATCCTTAATATAATGTGGAATAACAACCCACATTGCTAATTTCGCCATTAAACAAAAACTACCGGTAATACCCAGGAGTTAGGGGCATGACTATGAGATCCAAATCATTGTGTGCAAATCTTGGCAATGATTTCTGAAAATATTACAATTGAAACTGGAATGTTGACTAAAGTAGCAACAAAATAGAAAAAATATTTGAAGTTGTGATTGCTACACAAAAAAGTAAAGCAACTTTTTTCAACGTAAAATGACATTTGAGCAACAAAATCAGGTGAAAATTGAGTATTTAAACATGGAAAATCTAGCAACTACCCTGAACGGGTTGGTCATTTGGCTGAAATTGGGAATCTAATCTTTTCCAATTATTTCTGTCTCATTTGAATCAACACACACTTGCACTGAAGCAGCTGAAACATAGTCTGTCTCGGTTTTATATTTTGGTGTTGAATGAAAGGAAAATATGTGATTTGAAAGATGTCTTTTATTTTTGAATACTCCATCACAAAGATGGCACTTATGCTTTAAAAACACTGAGCAATTTTCAATATGGAGCTCATAGGCTTCTTTTTTGCGATATCTTCTGCCACATTCTGCACAACGGAAGTTGCTAGAAATACATTCAGTTTTCATGTGTGCAATATAAGCATTACGGTTTTCATAAGATTTATTACAATCATGACAAATGTGTAAAGGTTTTATGTCTGTATGTTTCTCCCTGATATGAAGACTCAAACTGCGAGAAGATGTATAAGTTTTATCACATGAATCGCAAGCAAATTTTGGTGCATGAGTCATGTGTGTTGGTAAATGACTTTTCAGAGTGCCTATTTGAGTAAATGTTGCACCACATTCAGAACACACATATGGCTTTTCCCCAGTATGGATTCTGCAGTGAACAATAAGGTCTTTCTTATATAAAAATTTTCTTCCACATACATCGCAGGCATGCTTTTTCTCTCCATGAATAAAATAGTGTTTTTTCATCTTAATTCTGGTTTCAAAAACTTTCTCACAACCCTTAAATGGACAAGCAAAAGGTGGTTCAACTGGCAATATTAGGTCATGTTTAACCTCTGGTTCTTCATAATTTTGCATCTTAGGATATTTTGAAAGTAATGAGGTAGAATCAGATGTAATACCAGCATTCCCACTCCTTCGCTTTACAGAAAAGAGGGAATGCAAATTGGCGACTTTTTTTGTTGGTTTTTTCTGTTTACGTTTAACTTCTGTTTTGTCCTTCACAGGTGTTAAAATTTTATTATGCAATTCTCTGTCATAATCACCAGCGGAGCTTAAATCAGCTACTACATGAGTGATAATCTCATCAAGTGAGCTTACATCTTGGTCATTGTCAACATTTTCCAATTTTACAGACACTTGAAATTCATTGTGTTTATCGTGTGAAACATTTGTGTCTTCCAAAGTTATTTCTGCATCTTTCTGTAATTTATCCAAATTCTCTTGATAATCTTTATTTTTTTGCTTTGATGGAAGAGATACACCAAGTGCTCTGCAACATTTTACAAAACCCTCCAGAATAGATACATCATTTACATCAGGGGGTTGACCAGTGTAAACATACAATAGCAATGCATTGAATCCAGAAGCTGGAAGACCTTGTAGTGTTAACTGAACAATCTTTTTCTGAGAGTTGCCCAACTCCTTAACAATTATGTTAAACAGAGTTGGACATGCAGTTATTAGAACACACCTATGAGCCCAAAATACTGTTTCTTCTACTGAAATGCTTATATCACAAAGACTGGGATCATTCAACATTCCAAATATTTTTGAAAGAAGATCGAAACAATGATCCTTCTGAGATCGAAATATCATGATTTACAGTCATTACTTGATATCAGAGATCTGAAAATAAAATATCAATTTACTAATTAACATGATATCAATTAAATAAGAGTAATAATATGTATCATAATAAATGAAACATGGAGAATATTTCAGGTACAAGCTTGACTGGGGATCTCTTGTAAGCTCTAACTTCTTTAAAGAAAATATAAAATCAATATATTTTTCCTAGAATAGAATATATTGTAAACGGTTCCATTACATTTGAACCCATGACAATTGCACCTGTATGCTATTGTACCTATGGAATTTTTTTTGTTTCACGGATAGTTAAACCCATACTAACCCTAACCCATGGGTTTTAGCACCCGCATATAGATTGAATTGAACCCGTGGATATATGCATGGGTTCAAATGTACATGGGTTCAAATGTACGGTCACCATTGTAAACATGTCCAATAAACTTATACTGATCATTTTGGGCAACTATTAACTTATTCATTAAACATAGGCATCTTATCATTTCAAAGTATTTAAATGTGTTTATCAAACTTCACAATTCCACCATCATTTTTAAAAGATTTTTATTATGGTTTACACAAAAAGATAAACATCAAGATCATGAACGATGGCAGTAAAGCAGCTTTCTTCAATGCATAGTGTGTTATGTTCAGGGTGACCCCAAAAAAGAAACCCATACAATAAGTTCCAAATGGCCTGGGTTCCGTTTTATGGTCATGCTGTATATCCACAATATGATTTTGGCGTCAAAATCAAGTACAGCCTATAAATCTTAAAGTGAAAAAAATCTAGTCCCAGCAACTAGGTACTTATTCAAACTCTAAAAATGTCACATTGTTAAAATCAAAATCCATTTCTTTCCTGTGTATTTATGCCTCATTTGAATCAATACACACTTGAATTAAAGGAGCTGGAATATTTCCTGTCTCAGTTCTATATTTTGGTGTTGAATGGAATGTAAATATGTGATTTGTTAGAAGTCTTTTATGTTTGAATACTGCATCACAAAGATGACAATGATGATTCTTCAATGAAACTGAACAATTTTCAATGTGCAAATCATATGGTTCTTTTCTGCGATATTTTTTGCCACATTTTTCACAGCAGAAGTAACATTTATTTTCCGTTCGACTTTCGTTAGGTTTCTTGCGATCGCGACGAATATGTAAAGGTTTTTTGCCGTCATGTTCCTTTTTCATATGAACACTTAAATTGCGAAATAATTTATACGCTTTATCACATAAATTACAAGCAAATTTTGGCGCATCATTTATGTGTGTTTCTAAATGACTTTTCAAAGTGCCTTTTAATAAGTTCAGGGCTGTGCTTGCTTGATTGCTTCCTGACAGATAGCCTGGCTTGACTAAGAACAGACCAACAGATGTAGAACTGAGCTTTTATTATCAGTAACAAAGAATATAATCCTAACTGCGGTAAACTACTGTTTTATCTGTAATTTACAGGTTAATAGTTAAAGCAGATTGTTCAGTGCACAAGGCTAGTCTAGTACCAGAGTACCGGCAGACAGGAAGCTCATTGCCATGTACAGGTGGAGGGGTGCAAAGGTCAAGGCATGGCACAAGTGCCATAATGTTGTGTTACTGAAAGGATACATGTTGGAAAAGAAGATTGAAATGAAATTATGTGTTACTGTACATATAAAATAATATTAAAACACTGTACACAATATTAGCACAATAAAGCACTTTACAGTACACTGAGTCACACTGTATTTTAGGGTGATAGTGAATCTTTTGGGACATATCACTACTCCCCTCTTTTATACTCGTTTCAATAGTCATACATTTCTGTGTACCCTGGATTGTTGAAGTCAGCTAAGCGACTCAGTGCTCGTGGCACCGCAGGGTGTGACTGTGGCCTGTGATCCACCTGGTATTCTGGGTATTGGGTATCCAATGAAATGGGATTGCTGTCAGTCTGAGCCATATCATCCCATTGCCACCAGCTAGGAGGTTGTGTCTGGTTTTGGGCAGAAAGTCGTGAACGTTGTGGTGCGGAGAAATATGGCTTCACATCGTCGAAATGTCTTCGAAATCTTTTGCCATCAGACTGACGCTCTAGTGCCAGTCCATTACAGCCAATGTTGATGACTTTGAGAACATCTGGACCGAAGATTGGGTCGAATTTCTTAGCGTTATTGTTTCGCATCAGTACCATATCGCCATATCTGAACTGTGAAGGTGCTCTTTTGATAGAGCTGTTGATGGAACTTTGACGCTCCAGTTTCTGCTGTATGTCCAGAGATTCCGCATCTTGAACTTCTTGTGGAGTGAGTACTTTGCGGGGAAAATCTTGTTGGTAGCCACCTCTGAACATAAGGTTTCCTGGTGATTGCCCCGTGGCAATGTGAGGGGTAGATCGAAATCCTGTCAGAAAGTTGTTTAGGGCTTTGGTCTTGTCCCTGCCCTCAGCATGTGCGATTTTCATTGCTTTACCGAGAGGTTTCATCAGTGTTTCCACCGGGTTAGCTTGAGGGTGATAAGGGTAGGATGTCTGATGAGTAATGCCACGTCTATCTGAAAATTCCTTGAACTCTCTGGAGTTGAATGGTGGTCCATTGTCCGTTCTATGTGTGTTAGGTTGCCCATAGTAGGTGTATGTTTCCTCTATAGCTGGTATGACATGACGTGCTGCTGTGGAATTCACAATTTTTGCATTTGGGAATCGCGTCTTCATGTCTTGTATTACCACCACATGTTTGTGATCTGGCATAGGACCAAAAAGGTCTATGCTGACTTCTTCCCATGCTGATCTGGATGGAATGATTGACTTCAGTGGCTGTTTGGTTGTCTTATTAGTGAATTGTTGGCACATTTCACAATTTTTTACCTTGTTTTCTGCAAGCTTGTTTAAGCCTGGAATCCAGAAATGGCTGCGAATTCGTCGCTTGAGAATATTAATCCCTGGGTGGCCTCCTTGATGTGCTTTTTCAATGGCTTTTTCCCAGAGTGTCTCTGGCAACACTATCTTGTCTTGCTTCATAATGAGTCCATCAACGAGTGTTAGCTGATCCTGGAATTTCCGGTACTCGTTAAAGCTCGATTTGTGCTCAGGAATCTGTCCTTTGACAATGTATTTTTTTAGCTTCCGCAAAACTCTATCTTTGCTCGTCTCTTGCGCGATGGTTGACATAGATATTGCTTCGATGTAAGGCCCGTACTGAAGCCAGTATACAGTCCTTTCAAGCTCTCCAGCCTCTTTCTGCCACTCTTCGGGTGTTTCATGGAAGGGAGTTGAGTGTCGTGAGAGATAATCTGCTGGATTGTGCTTGCCTGGCTCCCATTGAACTTCGTACAGTATGTCTTGATGTCTCATTTTGATTCTGTCGGTTCTGATTGAGCCTTTGCGCGAATTGCTAAAAATGCTGACCAGTGGCTTATGGTCTGTGATGATTTTCACTGGTGGGCCTCCAGCGATATAGTTGCGGAATCGTCGCAAAGCAAAATCAACAGCTAGTGCTTCGAGATCGAGTTGAGGGTAGCGTTGTTCTTCCGGCTTAGTTGCACGGCTTGCAAACGCTACTGCTTTGGATTCCTGGATGCTTTTTCCTTGGGCGAGGATAGCTGAGATGCCAGATGTATGGGCATCCACGAACACGAAGGTTAAGGAATTTATGTCAAAATATCTTAGCTCTGTGTCTGCTTGCAAAGATTGTTTTAGAGCTTTGAATTCTTTGTTGCATTGTGATGACCACCTAAATTCTTTGTGTTTCTTTGTTAGGCTGCGCAGATGTGTGGTCTTGCTTGACAAGTGTGGAATGAAGTCACCAAATGATTGTACAAAGCACAAGAAGGACATGACTTCATCTTTTGACTGAGGTTTTGTTGCTTTTTTAAGTGACTCCACTTTGACTGGGTCTGGCCGAACCCCATTTTTTGTAACGATCATGCCCCAGAACGGGATTTCTGATTTGCGAAAAATGCATTTGTCTGGGTTGAGTGTCATGCCAACTTGATGTATTTTATTGAGCGCTTCGTGCAAGGATTTGTCGTGCTCTATTTTATCTTTGCCTGCCACTATAACATCGTCATGAATGATATGTACACCCTTGATGTTAGCGAAGACTGGGATCAGCGCTTTAGTTAATTCGCCTGATGCCGGTTTAGCTCCCATTGTTAGTTTTCTGTATCGCATCAGACGCTGTCCAGCATGGAATACTGTTGCAATGCGTGAACTCTCATCTAGGAGAAGTTGGTGGAAGGCTGATTTGAAGTCTAGTTTGCTGAAAACTGCACACCCAGACAGCTTGGCTTTGATGTCTTCCACCCGCGGAATTGGGATGTTTGTCGCTTTGATTGCTTTGTTTACAGCTCTAAGATCTATGGTTACTCTGATATTACCATTGTCTTTTGGTGTGAGCACCGGGTTTGAGACCCAAGGTGCTGGACCGCTGTGCTCTTCGATGATTCCTTGTTCTTCCATTTGTACAATAGCCTGTTGGAATCTCTCCCGGAGATGAAATGGAATTGGACGCGCTGCCTGAGCAACAGGAGGTATTTTATTGTTCATATAGAAATGCACTTCATGATCGATCAGTGTTCCCACACCCATGAAGACCTCTGGGTATTTTGCAAAAATGTCTGATTCAGATGAATGGAGCTTTCTTACAGCTCGTAATTTGCCTGAACATTCCTTTGTGCAGTTGTTGAATTTGATGATTCCAAGTTCTTCACAAAGCTGGCCACTGAGTAGTGTTTCTGAATCACCTGGGACTATGTAAAATCGAGCTGTGGTCACTGCGTTTTTGAACATGATACTACCTTCATAATATCCAGCACATCTGATTGGCTTGGAGCCATACGGTCTGAGCTTTATCTTTGTTTTGCACAGAGGCAGTTTCAGTTTGGATGCAGAAGTCTCTGACATCACATTGATGTCTGCTCCTGTGTCCGCGAAACCTTTGATGCGTCTCTCGGCTACAATTATCTCCACTCTGTATCGAGGTTTTGCTATGTTGCGAATAGTAGATCCTGTTTCGTGCGAATTGGCTGGGGTGAAGGCAGGCTTCTTCGAACGGCTGTTCTTTGATACTCCCTTCTTACATTGGACTCTATGTATGCGTCTCATTCTGCGCACTCCTTCTTTGGAGCTGGGTGGACTGCTTTCTTCCTCTGTTTCATTCTCAGAGGAGCTGTCAGTTTCCGAATGTGGCTCTGAGGATCTAGTTCTTGGCTTTACCCTGTGTGCTCTTGCTGCTGGTTTACCTCTACATATTTTTGACCCTTTGAAGTGGCCTTTTCTACCACAAGCGAAGCAGTTTGAATGGCGTGCCTGACATGTTTTTCCACCCTGACATGTCTTCGAAGAACATGTGGTGCACTGGGAAAGAGGATGTTTTGGTCCTGAATCAGCTTTGGATTTCTTTGTTTTACGAGAGTATTTCCCTGGTCTCATCCTGGATATGCTGGTGAAGTCTTCCTCGGTTGTCGAGTTTTCCAGGAGGCGTTGTGCTGTGTGGGATGCAGCCTCTATCTTGCGCCCATTTTCTATCAGGTCCTTAAGCCCCCACTGATTTTTTAGAGCATTCCTTCTAATGTCATCATGTCTCGTTCCAACTATAATTTGGTCGCGTACCATGATATCTGGGATGTCGCAGCCTTCATTGCTGCAGCTGAATTTGCAAGATCGAGCTTCATGCTGCAAACGATGGACAAAGTTATTGAAGCTCTCGTCCTGATCTTGATTTAAGCGATGAAACTCATGATTGGCCAAGGTATAGTTGCGAGTGGGCTCATATCTGGCCTTCATTCTTGCAATGAGGTTTGCGAATGTGAGAAGCGAGCGATCAGTCTCTGCGACAGTGTCTTCAAAGTCTTTTTGAAAGTTGCGAGATGCGAATCGGCCAAGAAATATTTTTCTTTTGTTGATCTGGACCCATGCATTTGTGTCCTCCGTGCCTTGAGGGGGATCCCTCGCAATAGCCTCATATTCATAATGAAACTGGTTGACAAAGTCACAGAATGCGTCATGCACATTCGTGGTGTGCATCTCTGGGTCAAACTTTCCGATTGACCTGGATGGTGATTCAAATTGTTCAGTAGCCATTGTTCCAATTCAAAACTACAGTCAGGATTATCTGTTGTGATGTCTGAGATGGGTTACTATAGTGTCTGTTCCTCCGTTTCACCTCGTCGCCATTAATAAGTTCAGGGCTGTGCTTGCTTGATTGCTTCCTGACAGATAGCCTGGCTTGACTAAGAACAGACCAACAGATGTAGAACTGAGCTTTTATTATCAGTAACAAAGAATATAATCCTAACTGCGGTAAACTACTGTTTTATCTGTAATTTACAGGTTAATAGTTAAAGCAGATTGTTCAGTGCACAAGGCTAGTCTAGTACCAGAGTACCGGCAGACAGGAAGCTCATTGCCATGTACAGGTGGAGGGGTGCAAAGGTCAAGGCATGGCACAAGTGCCATAATGTTGTGTTACTGAAAGGATACATGTTGGAAAAGAAGATTGAAATGAAATTATGTGTTACTGTACATACAAAATAATATTAAAACACTGTACACAATATTAGCACAATAAAGCACTTTACAGTACACTGAGTCACACTGTATTTTAGGGTGATAATGAATCTTTTGGGACATATCACCTTTGTTGGTAAATTTCATACTACATTCAGCACATTCATATGGTTTTTCTCCTGTATGAATTCTGCGGTGGTTAATAAGATCTTTCTTGTTCAAGAATTTTTTTTCACATACAGTGCAGATATGTTTTTTCTTTCCATGAATATATCGATGTTTTTTCATTTTGGGTATGGTTTCAAACATTTTTCCACAGCCTGCAAATGGACAACGACAATGGACAACGGGTTCACTTGGAGATAATGAATCATTTTCGACTACAGATCTCTTACGATTCTGTATCTTAGTATATTTTGAAAGCAATGGTGAGGATACAGATGTAACACCAGTTTTTCCAATCCTTCGCTTCACAGAAAAAAGTGCTGGTCCAACTGGAGATATTGAATCATTTTCGACTAAAGATCTTTCATGATTCTGTGTCCTCGGATATTTTGAAAGCAATGTTGAGGCTTCAGATGTAACATCAGTTTTTCCAATTCTTCGATTCACAGAATATAGTGACTGCAAATTAAAATCTTCTCTCCCTGGTTCTTTTTGATGCATCACATTTTGTTGAGGTTGAACTTCAGTCTTTTCCTTTTCAGGCATCGCAATTTCATCACGTAAATCTTTGTCAAACTCATCAGCTGAATTTAACTCATCCACTATACCATCAACAATGATGTCATGTGGGCTTACATCATGGTCATTGTCAATACCTTCTGATTCTGCTGTGATGTCAGATTCATTGTGTTTGTTATATGAAACATCTGTAACTTCCACAACTATTTCAGTGTCTTTCTGTATTTGCTTCAATTTATCATGAAAGTCCTTATTTTTCTTTGTTACAGGAAGAGATACGCCAAGTGCACAGCAAGATTTAACAAAATCAGTCATTAAAGATTCATCATTTACATCAGGTGGTTGACCAGTATAAACATATAATAGCAAAGCATTAAATCCAGACACTGAAAGGCCTTGTAGAGTTAACTGAACAGTCTTTTTCTGAGAGTTTTCAGATTCTTTAACAATTATATCAAATAAAGTTGGACATGCAGCTATCAGAATACATCTATGAGCCCAAAAAACTGTTCCTTCTATTGAGATGCTTACATCACAAAGACTGGAATCGTTCAACATTTTGTAAATTTTTGAAAGAAGATCAAAACAATGATTTTTCTGAGATCGAAATATCATGATTTACAGATGACACTCTATATCAAAGATCTGAAAATAAAGCACTAAATCATTATCATGAATATCCACAAAAGAATATTAACTAGATATGAAGTGTGGTTTCTGAATGTGTGGTTTCTACACAATAAAATATTTCAAGAAATTTAGGTTTGGAATCATAGATTTGAATATTGACAACCCCCCGTCAAGAGCCTTCTAGACAAACCCCTATAGGCAGTGCTGCCATACCGTCCTTATTTCTAAGATTTGTCCTTATTTTGAAGGTCTTTGTCCTAAAAATATTTTTGTCCTTATCTCTAAGGAACGTTCTTTTTTGACATGAAGTCCTTATTTTATAGGTGGAGGATCTAAATAATACCAGGCACTTAGATTGGTCCATTCGAATGACTGAATTGCTAGAAATGATATTTTACAACCTCATTGAGTGCTACAAGCGTTCATTATGTAATAACAGCAAATTAATTGATACAATGACAAAACAATAGCCTACCGGCCAAAATCAGTTCGTGTAACTTAGGTAAATCAAAATACAACTTAAAAGTGAGATGGCAAGTGCAAAGTATGATTAGACACAGGTTTCCCTGGCATGAATGCATTTTGTTTATTACATTTCGTTCCTTGTTATTCTATTATTATGTTTCCCTGATGTCCTTAGTTTAGGTTCATATCGATGGCAGCCCTGCCTATAGGTAAATCTTTTGAACCGCTTTCTGTGTATGATGAGGGGTTGGATAAGTATCTTCTTACACTCTTATGCATTTAATAATGGAAATCAATAAATTATATACACCTCATCATTTTTATTGATTAAAAGTGGTGGATAAACCTCATAATTTCATGAAAAGTTCAATTCAACTTTAATTTGGTTTATTTTGGCAATATTGTTCACACCAAGAGAAAAAAAAACTTTCACAGTAAATTAGGATACCTTTGTTAAATGTACAAATGGTTGTTCACAATGGTAAAGGAAACTCAATACAAAAATAAGCATAAATGGAGTATATGTGGACAAAAAAATCATGTCTCATCAACTACTTCTTCAAGTATCACACTGTCAAAATCATACATTTCATTTTTCCCATTAGTTTCCACCTCATTCGAATCAATCAACACTTCAATTGAAGCAGTTGAAACATTGTCTGTCCTAGTATTATATTTTGGTGTTGTATGGAAGTTAAATTTGTGAGTTGAAAGTTGTTTTTTATTTTTGAATGCCCTGTCACAAAGATGGCACTGATGATCAAATGAAACTGAACATTTTTTTACATGGAGCTCATAGGATTTTTTCATGTGATATCTTTTGTCGCACTTTGTACAACGAAAGTTGCAAGAATCACACTCCTTTTTCATATGTGAAATATAAGCAGCACGGCTCTCAAATGATTTATTGCAATTATGACAAATAGGTGAACATTTTTTGTCCGTATGTTTTTCTTTCTTATGAAGACTTAAACTGCGAGCAGATGTATAAGTTTTATCACATAAGTTGCATGGAAACTTGGGCGCATCATTCATGTGTGTTGGCAGATGATTTTTCCAAGTGCTTTTTTGGGTAAATTTAGCACCGCATTCAGTACATGCGTATGGTTTTTCTCCTGTATGAATTCTGCAATGAATGGTTAGATCGATCTTTAATAAAAACTTTCTTCCACATACATTGCAAATGTGTTTTTTTTCTCTGTGAATATAGTAATGTCTTTTCAACTTATCAAAAGTTTCAAAAATTTTCCCACAGCTATTAAATGGACAAGCAAAAGGTGGTTCAGCTGGAAGTATTGGGTTATGTTTTACTACAGGTCTTTTACGTTTCTGCTTTATAGGATATTTTGATATCAATAGAGTATACTCAGATGCAACATCATCCTCCCCATCCCTTCGCTTTACTGAAAAAAGTGACTGCAACTTGACATCTTTTTTGGCTGGTTCCTCTTGATGTTTTGCCTTATCTTCACCTCCTATGTTGTCATTTTCAGGCAAGACATTTTCATCATGCAAATCTTTATCAACCTCATCAGCTGTGTTTAAATTCTCAAATATATCATTAACACTCAGATCAACCGGGCTTTCAGCATGGTCATCGTCATCCGATTCTGCTGCAACTTCAGATTCGTTGTTTTTGTCATATGAAACATCTGTAACTTCCATAACTATTTCTGTATCTTTATGCAATTGCTCCATTTTATCATAATAATCTTTGTTTTCCTTATTTGGAGGGATAGATACACCAAGTGCACAGCAAGATTTTACAAAATCATGCATCAAAGATTCATCATTTACATCAGGAGGTTGACCAGTATAAACATACAATAAAAATGCATTGAATCCAGAAACCGAAAAGCCTTGAAGACTCAACTGAACAATCTTTTTCTTAGAGTTTTCAGATTCTTTAACAATTATGTCAAATAGAGTTGGACATGCAGCTATCAAAACACATCTATGAGCCCAAAAAACTGTTCCTTCTATTGAGATGCTTACATCACAAAGACTGGGATCATTCAACATTCCAAAAATTTTTGAAAGAAGATCAAAACAATGATCTTTTTGAGATGGAAATATCATGATGTACAACTATTTTTTAATATCGATGATCTGGAATCAAAACGCAATAATTTAATTTATTAAAATAAATATTCTTGAAGAATATAAATTAATTATGGAGTATGGAGTCAAAAAAAAAGTATACTGGCGAAAGAATGGCTTAAATCTTGTGTGAGGCAGTAAAAAACTTGAATGCTTTGATGTATACATGGACATGAATATTGGGAATTAATGCTGAATAGTTTGTAGGGAGAATAGCAGAATAAGCAGCAACATTGAGTTTCTTACCGGCACGTTTGTGAAAAAAAGGCCACAGCAATTCTTCTTAATATTGAGTTCTTAAGAAAAAAGAATTACTGAAGCCTGTATGTGATAACCAGCCAGTATCAGAATTAAGATCTCTTATTTTTAAAGTTCAAGTGACATTTTGATGAGATGTGTTTCACTCCTTTAAAGGCAACCACTTACCTATATGTTGCGAGCTACATTTTAGTTACAAATAGCCTATTTATTAATTTCCCAAATCTTGGGCGAGCCATTGCGTATGAGCACTTGGCACTAACCCTCAGAGGTCCCATAGTTGCATGTTAGCTCTCAGACCTTTCGCACATTCGCCAGGCTAATCAGTTAACATGTATAGATCATGTTTATGTGGTCTATAGAAATCTAATCTTATTTCCTTTCACATGCAAAAGCTTGATCATATAATATATCGATTACATATTCAACATCATCAATAATTCTAATATGCCATTTGCTTTCCACATAATTCACATTTATACGGATTTACACTGCAATGCATCCCGTAATTGCAACTACCGGTAATAATGCATTTACTGCATATATTGTAACTAAATTCCTTTGCTGCGATATCACTTCATTAAATGTACAGGTATTGATTTAAGTCTGATATTTTCAACTCCAGTACAATATAGATGCAATATAGGTATGTATATTATGAAGCTTTATCGTTGTCTACTCCAAAAATTTAACAAACCTTCCTTCTTTGTATTTAAATGGTACCAACAGCAGAGCATGCGCCTATAAAGTTGTCACTCACATTAGGTTCATTTGAACAAACTGGTAGTCCAGTATAAATGTATACTGATGTTCAGAATACGATACTATTTCATCCACTTTTTGAGCAACGCAACATCACATAAAATGTCATCCTTCACCATAGCGTTGAAGATATTTTACAGGAGGATGAACAACATAAATCCAAAACTATTTAATTTGAATCAACAATGAACAATTTAATACTAAGTTACATATCTTAATAGGACATATAATTCTAAAAACAAAAAACAGTTAGTTAAAGGAGTCGATCAAAGCAATGTAATTTCTACAACGGATGTCAAAACAATTAAATGAAATATTGGTTGACTCAAAAATGAATATTTCCAGCTAAAAATTCATAAGGATAGTGAACATTGAACTACCAATCTAAACTATTGTACATGAGTAGTGTGTTTCACATCAAATGTAGTAAAAGCTTCTGAATTGAAATGATTCAGAGTTCAAGAATGCTTCTGGGAATCGTAAAAGAGGATTACCAACAAAAATATATATTTCAACATTCCACACATAAACTTCAGATTCTACAAAATGTCTATACTGTGTACCATCACCTTCGTCTTGGTATATCCTATATAAATGCCTGTGCCACAATACTAATCTTAAACACGCTTTACCAACAGAAATTTTGATAATATGAAGCAACATTATAAATTTAATGTCTATATTATGACCTCTACAAGACTAGTATTTAAAAAAATATAGATTCAATGGTCAGTTTTATACCAAGTTATGGAATACATGCATGACCAGGTTTGAAACAGAAAATTCAAGCATGTAGCATTAGGCTGGTAAATCGGAAACTAGTAAGAAATAAATTTGTCTCATTAATATGTATTACATGAACCATGTCCATGAATTCACAACTGTTTTATACAAATTTAATTCAAAAGCAACTATGTAATATGTAACATTCAAGTTATCCAAAATTTTGTTATTAGTGACAAAAATAGGTATGAATTTGTCTTAATAATCCAGTTGGTCAAGTAAAAACATTCTTATTAGAAACAGAATTGCTCCACCAAGCAAATTTCACACCACGACCACAGTAATATTTCCTATTCCATTTTACATTTGAAACAGCTTAAACAGTGGCAGAAAATGATGAAAATGACCAGGGATCTGGAGAATTGAGTAAAATCTTATTCAAAATGTGATTTCGTTATTCAGATAATTAATATTATCAATTATCATGAAAAAAATGCTGGAATAAATATACTGGCATTTTTAGATTATTAAGATCTTGGATTCAAGCTTTAGCGCATCCAACTTATGTTCAACCTTTCAAGCAAGATGTAATAAAATGAATAGATGAAGGTGAGTAACACTGTATTACTTTCAAATTTGGGAGACCCTGTAAATTTGAATAATTACATTAATCCTCTCTACAACATTAAAGTATGATACGGAAATAAATTTCGTCATGTCAAGGTGAAGAAATCACTGTTCAATTTAACAGTCTTATGGACCAAGTTAAAACAAAATTATAAACAGCTTATTCAATCTAAGCTGAATAGAAAAGTTTCCAATAATTCCATCCCTGTTATAAGTATTGGCTTGAAAAAATATAAAAAAAAGAAGATTTATTTACAAAAAAAAACATTTTCTCTAAAAATATCATCAGTGACTAAATCAGAATCCAATTCCAGTTGACTCGAATGACTGTTCATTAACGACCTGCTCAACAGTTTGGTTGAACCAATGGGTGAAATTTTGCTGGTTTTTACGCTTTGTGGTTTTAGTTAGAAGTTCTTCGTCAAAGTCATGTTCTGCCCACAAATGCTCTTCCCATCTTTTTTTCGATTTAAAGCCTTGCGGACATCGGTTGCACATAAATTTGGCTTGAGTTTTACACTTTGAAACATGGCGAAGAAACGTATTTTGTTTTTTGTATGACATGAGACAAACAGGACATTCGTAGTAAGGAGACTGTTGCTCGTGAGGCATCCCGTCTGCAAGATCCCTCTTCTTCCTTTTAGCTCTGTACCTTGATGATACTTTTACTTTCTTAGCTCGAGGACTACTGATTAGATTTTCATTTTCTAAATTAAGAATGGGTGGTGATTTCGGAGCAGGAGGAGGAGAAGAGGGTGTAGGAGCGGTGGCCTTTCCACGCGTCTTTAATTTCCTAATTGGCCTTGGTCTTGCAGGAGGTCGAATTTTCGGAACCTCGCCTTCTGGGTGACGAAGATTGCAGTGCATGTTGAAGCTTTTAACAGATGTGTACTTGGTGTTGCAAACTTGGCACAAAACAATTTGCTTGACTTTACCATGCAACTGTCGTTTGTGCTCTTCCATACTGTGCTTTCGGGTGAAACGACGCTTACATACATCACATTGGTATGGACGTTCTTTCTGAGGTCTACCTTCTTTCAATTTGAAGTTTGTTGAATTTGCATCTGCCTCACTTTCAATTTTATCTTCAGCATGCTTTACTTTTATATGTTGAAGCAGCACATCTTTTCGAGTAAATGCACTACTGCACTGCTCACACTGATGTTTGAGTGGTGCGGGACTTTTCTTCGGTTGTTTGACTTTAGGTTCATCCACTTGAGTTTCTGATTGCGGTTCTTCCTCTATTTTTGATGGACTGTTAGCACGCTTCTTTGGAGGTATCGTCACAACGACAGGTACTGTCTTCCCATTTACGCTAGCTAAAAAGTTCTGTACAACATTTTTAGGTTTTAAAATGTTGGGTGAGACGGCTCCCTTACCTCGTAGCGTAATATACCATTTTCCACATGGCTTGCAATGATAGCGAACTTCTTTACGATTTGGTACTAAAGATGAAGCCGTTGGGGGAGATATTTCCCGTAGAACTGCTTGGCATTTTCGACACTGAAACTGCTTAATTTCTGAGGTTTCAGGATCAGGATTTGAAGTTTGAGATTCCGCATTATCTGCTTCGGGCAGCGGTTGATCTTCAGAAGCACCTTTAGAATCATCCATTCCTTCCAAGTGAACTTTGTAAACCTGAGCAAACTTATTATCATCACTAGCAGTGGTTTTTGAAGTAACAGTTTCTTCCAGTGTAACATCTGCATACGAATGGTCTGGCTCAGGAGATTGAACAGCAGAAGCTTCTGCGGAAGGGACAGGATCCTCATGGGCAGAGACAGAATCTTCCTCAGAATGATAATCAATGAGAGGAGATCTTGCTGCCTCATTAGCCTCTTGCTGCTTTAAAATTTTGATCAAATCTCTCACAGCATGATCCTGGTTTTTCAATTGTGTCTTTCTAATTTTAGGTTTTGAAAGCTTAATATGTGGTGTATCAAGAACTTCTCGACCAATTGAGAAATCACCCAATGATGGCATTTCATCATAACTGGGTGAATCAGTGATTACCTGCTGCTGCAGTATAACTTCTATAATTCCATGTTCATTTTTGGGTAAGAGTGCCATCTGTACATCATCTTTTGGGGTCAGCCAAACAGTCTGCCCAGATTTTACTCCAGGAAATGGAATCTTAAATGCACAACATACTTTTACAAATTCGTCTCGAAGTTTGGTATCAGCCTCATCTGGTGATTTCCCAGTGTAAATATAATCAATCAATAATTGAAAAGATGACGGGGATAAACCATGCAGTTTCAGGGTTAAATAACTCAGAGGCGTTCCTTGTGTTGCCCTTGAAATCAAGTTATACAACAAAGGGCATACAGCCGAAAATATAACCCGATGGAGTCGAAATTCTTTTTGTTGAATAATGACAGTCAAGTCACACAAACTTTTTTGCAATAGAAAGTGATGAACTTGTTCAGTTATCCGTAAGCAATGCTCTTTTTCAGCTGGCAAAACCATTCTGATCTACCATAGAACTAGAGCTACAAAAGAGAAACACAAATTTTGAAGTTTCCAACATAAGTATAAAAAAGTTTTAAACGTATGTACAAATAGTGGCAACATTGATATTTAAAGACAATTTCAACAGTTCAAATATTTTTTATTAGAACTGAACATCGAAATATTATGACAAAATGAACAAAAATGTATCCGGCCATTCACCAAAGGCTTATTTAACTATAAATATAAATTGTGAGATGATAAAAATGCCAAGCTAGTCAGACAAATTGGAAAATAGCATTTGAAACATTGAAAAAAAATCTAGAAGCCTAAAAACAGAACAAAAAATAGAGTTTATCTAATACTACGGTGACATTAATTTGAATGTTCAGCACAATAGTTTTAATAGTTGTTAATAGTTTTAAGGCTTCTATTCATTATAAATGAAGAGTAAAATGGAACACAAAGTAAACACAGGCTATTCTTCATTCTCGGTTTAATATCAAAACAAAAGTAGTTTTAAATTTAAAATTTGCTATGTTGAGAAAGTTAAAGAAAACCATTATTGTGAGTTTTACAGTTGCACGTTATTTTCCAGTCTCAAATAACCTTCCTGATATACATAACAAGTTGGTGTTATACAGATCATATCAATAGAGAAGCAAACTAACTACTAATTAAGGCAGGTTTCGGCATTTTACATTTATATCTTACAATGAGAAAGCTAGAGTTATTGAAAAAATGAGGCATTTTGAAATTTACATTTCTCACAAACCCTAAAATGTCCACCAGTATAAACACTTCACCTCACAGCAATATAAGGAATACACCATTTGCCGCATTTCGTGAGTATTTATGCACTCACAATAAGAATTAGCTAATGGGGCCTTATAAGCCCTAAATTCATACTTCAACAGATATAGCTAGCAGTAGTGCATATTTCAAGTTACCCAAAACAAGTATTCAATACCCACTGAATAAAATCGAAATCTATTGTTAAAACATATTTTCCAAATTGAGTATTTTGACGTCACATGCTTCGGAGGTTTCTACACCTCCTATAGATGACACAGCTGCTGCCACAGCATCAAGTTTTTCAGCTTGAGTTTTGTCCGACATGCATTGATGCTCATTACCTTCTTCTTCCGTTTTAAATGTAGCACCACATTCGCCACAAATGTAATGAGCTTCTGGTCCATTACAAATGTATTCAGATTGGTGATGATCATCATCTGGTGTCTCTGTAAATTCAATTACAGTCTCACCGATGCCTTCATGAATTTCAACTGCAGATTGCAATTCCATTTCTCTTTGTTCATCTGTTTTTTTAGCACGAGGAAGTCTTGGCATCTGTTTTACCATTTCACTTTCTGGATGAGAGCGTTTTAAATGTTGTTTAACACCTAGTTCGTTACAGTATCGTTTTGCGCAAATTGGACATGAGTGGGGTTTTCCTTTCTCCACTGCGATTGCCATTCCCTCTTGTGTGTGTAATTTAGCATGATTTCGCAAGCCTTTTTCAGATCTATATTGTTGTCCGCATTGCTCACAGTAGTACATTGGAACATCAACAATGTGTACTTTCTTGTGACTAGTCAAAGTTGATTTCTGTGCAAATTTGGCATCGCAGACTTCGCATTGAAATGGTTTTTCACCAGTGTGGGTACGAATGTGACTGATTAAATCTTTATTATATAAAAACTTCCGTCCACAATGTTCACAAGCATGTTTCTTCTCATCATGAACTCTATAATGCTTTTTACACTTCTCTCTAGTATCGTAAACTCTGTCACAATTTTCATGAGGACAAGCGAAAGGTGGTTTGTTTGGAAATATTCCATCATTTGCAGCTTTTGGTCTGCCTCGTTTGAGACAATTGTCTGGATCAAATGGAAACGGCGAAGCGATATTCCTACCAAGTTTGGGCTTCAAAAATTGTTCATCTTCCACTTCAAAATCAATATCATTAGTATCAATCAATGAATTTCTTTCACCAGACTTTTTCTTCACAGAAAATAATGAGCTTATATCCAGACCAGCAACATAATTTTTAGATTTGGATCTTCGTACTTTTCTTTTTTTCTTAGATGGCTCTTCGCTTTTATTAATGTTCTCTTTACCACGATTAAGAGATTTAATAGGAGATTCATCATCAATATCAGTGTCTGAAGAATCAGTTCCGTCTGCATTAACTGGATTATAAGATCTGTCAGAGTCTGAAGAAGAATCGTCAGGACGAAGAATGTGAACAACAAGTTGTGATTCTGGTGGTTCATCATCTTCAGAGTTATCAGCGGAGAAAATTTCGACATATTCGACATCTTCATTCAAATTTGAATTCTGTACATTGTCATCTTGGATTTCCTCAACGTCAGTTTCAACTTGAACTTCATCTGCATCTTCTTTTTCAATTGAATTTTCTTTGTCATTTTTCTCAGCAACTGAGATATTTTCCTTTAAGTTATCCAATTCAACTTCATCAAAAAGGCTTGAAGAGATAATAGAATTTTTATTAAAAATACCAAAAAATTCACATGCTTTTTCAAATGCCTTCATCCCTCTAATATTACTTTTGCGAGGTATTTTCCCTGTGTATACATACGAAACCAAATTTTTGATTCCTACAGCAGTCACACCTTTCGGGGATAATTTTACCATTCCACCATGTTGTTTTTGATTTTCTCTGAGAATCATTTTTTTTAAAGTAGCAGAAGCAGCAGCAAAAACACATTTATGAACTTCAAATATTTCATTACCAGCAACAATGGAAAGATCGCAAAGACTTTGACCCTGACTCAAGTTATACATTTGTGACATCATATTGGTACAATGATCTTGAGGTTCTGGAAATTCCATGATTATGATAAGATTCACAGACAAGTGGCCTACTATTATTCTCTAAAACCTGTAGTTGTACAAAACAATCGCATAAAGTTATTCAAATCATATCTAATGAAAATGTTTCAAATTAATAGATACATGAAAAATAAGTACGAGAGTAAATTTGAGGAAAATTGAAAATAAACCATTCAAAGGCTATCTATTTCAGTATCATCTAGATTTCTCCATCAAAATGGAATATTAAACTGTGACAGGTTTAATAATGTTGAGTACGGTACTGTTCTCCAATTCCAAAACTATTGTGAAACTGTTATCACTTCAGTGAACCAGATGATATTTGAATAAACAGAAAAAATAATTTAATAATATTGGTTGATCATTATTCACGAGGGTCAGTATGCAAGACTGGTTAAGTCATAGCAGCTCCCGGCAATGTCAGAATGTGTGTAAGATGTATATAATTATTCATTCAGATATAGCATGAGCAATGAAAAATTCATAAAATATACATAGAATAAAATGTGTATGTGTGAATCAGCAATTTAAAATTTTGAAGATACTAAAAGTTGTGATGTTAATTATAGGTGACGTGGAATTTTTGAATCCAGGGAGGTTCCGAGAATTAGGACAATTATAGAGAGTTAAGTTTTTCAACTATTTATAACTGTATAATAGTTAAGTATATCTGATTTCTTCCCCTCCCCCCCCCCAAAAAAAAACATACACAAAAATATTAAAAAACAAAAGATTTATAGATTGGGTGAAAAAACTGGCAAAACCTGATAAAGTTCAAAACATGTGAAAATACCAGTGCCAGTTTAGTTTTTCGATTGTACCTATTTTTGGAATTAAATATTCTTTGGACAAGTACAGTACCATACAGTACGGTACCGGTACTGAGCTCAAACCTAATACACAAAGACAATTTTCGTTAGACAGTTAGAATTCGATCTTAATTAGTCATTGCTGAATTAATTACCACATTTGCATAAAAAACAAAAAAGTACCGGTACCGTACATGAAACAAAAGAACAACGAACCGGTACAGTATATTCTGATATTACCCATATTTATTCAATAGTGTCCGCAAGTTATAAATTTGACTGGCGGCCTTAGCGTCAATGGAGAATACTGTTCAACATAAATCAAACGAAATGCAGGTCAGCCGAAATCACCACTCACCACTTGACCGCATTATCTTTATAATTTGTGATATAACAATGTGCTCACGTCGGTTCTTTGCGTAAATGACATTTTATATTTCATGTGCGCCGCGTTTGCATCGTCCCAGCTTAAATATTATATTAGAGTTTAGAATCCCTGACTTCTGGACTTAGGCTGTACACCCTTTATCAGTCGTATACCCAACTTACGGTCCGGTATAAGATTTACATATTTATCCCGGGGGAGAGGAAAGCCGATATACACTTGGGTATACCGTATACCCGGTTGAAGAGCACTGGGCTAGACTACCGGTAGGCTACATTAATATTGAACCTGATGAAATGGGAAAAGTGGGTGATACCGTACAACATAAAAATTACGATAATCATGAAGCAGTTCATTTCTTTCCTCATTCTTCTAATCATCCCAATTAATTTGCATTTAAAAATCGCCCTCACCTTACATTTTCAATGTTGTACCGGTAATTTGCAGCAGAGTTTTTTTTTTTTTTTTAAATTTTGAAGGATTAGACAAATAATGTGAAAAACACCTATCATGCCGTTAGGAGTTCTCAATATTCTATGTCTATGTAATTTTAGATATAATCCACTCTAAATTTCTCAAAGCATTATCGATTTATCAAGCAGATATTCTATCATTCCCCCACATAATATTTCATCTCTCAAGGGAATTTTTGTTACCCCTAAAACTCCAATTATCTTACATTTTATCATTGTTCTCAGAACAAATTGCATGTCAAGTATTTTGTCATATTTCACAGAATTTCTAAATTGCCAAACTGCATGTTTACCACATGCCATGATTATTGATATTGAAATACTGTCTAACTCCTGTGTGAAAAATAAATTTGCAGCAGAGTTGGCACATTTAAAAAAACAAACAAGCAATGTCTTGCAAGGACAAATATTAATGCGCTCTCCGAAATCGGTACGCCACCAAACGGGTGCACGTTTCAAAGCTACCGGTACTGTATTGTTTTTCGCACGAGTTATACCTCAAATATATACTACTACGTTATACAGATGTGGAGAAGGAAGCTAATATCACGAAACAGATTCAAAACTTTATCGCCTTGCAGTAGAGTGAGTCGAATAACACTGTTTTTGATATTTAACGTTACATCATCTGCCGGGCCCGGGCGCCGGCCTGAACAGGCGCCACACCCCATCTCCAGTCACCGAAAAGATGAGAGATAGAAACATTTCATTTTAACAAAACAATATTAATTGAACAAGAGAGCAACGCTCAAATATATGGACACGTGGACAAGAGCGAAGCAGTCCTTACCTTTGACGTTACCGTTACCGTATCCTCAAAAAACTTCCGAGTTTCCAGTCACAGGAATTTTCACAGTCAGCCGTCACGCTTGACTTGTTAAAAACCGTGTTCTCATAATTAAAAAGTAATACAGAGCAATTTTGGATGAAATATTAGATCTCATAAGATTCTTAGAAAAGTTAGGAATAAATAAAAGTAATAGCCTTCTGACAATCAAATTTTTTAACCACTGAAAATTTCAAAATCAATCTTTCAATCAATCAAAATCATTCTTTAACCAGTGAAAATTTCAAAGCAATTGGTCCAGTATTCGAAGAGAAAAGCGATTTTATCATGAAGAAAAAGAAGAAAATCAACAAGAACAACAACATTCATAGGTCCACTCACGTGTCCAAAAAGGACGATAGTACAGATTTTTATAGAAATACAGCGCAGTGAATATTTAAACATTGAATTGTGTTGGTCAGTATGCAAGACCTTTACAGGTTACCGAGGCTCCTGACCATAAACTTCGAGCGAAGCGGTAAATTCTTTGTTGGATAAATTTACTTTTGGTTCATGAAATCACAGATGGTCCTCCGGAGAAATACAAACGTCCGCATCTTCGGTGGCGTGGCGCATAGTGCTAAGCGTGAGGAATATGCTCACCATCGCACTTTTGATTACCCTGCGTGGGTTCGAATCCCGTCGGGGATAATGATGTGCGAGAGGATTGCTGGAATTATCGCGTAGGGTGGTTCACGTAACCGCTGGTGGGTTACGGTTTCCGGTTTGATTGTTACTTGTTTTCTCATTTAAAATTGCTTCAAAAGTATTGCCCGATTTTAAATCGCGTTCACTGTTTTGTATTGGATACGGAATGGACCTATGAATCGTTTGTTATTACGTTGTTGTTGTTTCTCTTGGTATTTTCTTCTTAACGTTATGAAAAAATCGCCTTTCTCTTTAACTACTGGGCCAATTACTTTTTAAAATTTACAGTGGTTAAAGATTGTATTTTTCGCTAGGAGGCTATTACTTTTTCCTGTCTATATATTTGAGCGTGGCTCTCTTTTTTTAGGGTGGGCTGGTAACCTTATCCTAAGTTATACTCGCCTCCCATTTATGTCATCATTCTGTTTTACCTGTTTACTTCTTGTGTCGTTTTGAATTATGTCTGAGAACGGAAATAAAATGACCAATTCCATACCCCACATGGACTGGTAACCTTGTCTGTTCACTGTTACTTGTGTCGTTTTGCTTTATATCTGAGAACGGAAATAAAACGATTGATCCTATACTCGACATGGACTGGTAACAGGACAAGAAGCCGGGGTTCGCTATCTGATTGAGCAGTCCCATTGGATTTCTTTCCCTGGGATAAATATGTAAATCCTATCCTATGAAAATATCTTCTGTTAATTAATATCTGAACCAACGTCAAGTCAACAAATTCTACTTATAAATTCTTTTAGCGCAAGTAATTGCATATCTTGCTTCGTGACAAGGAATTTAAAATATTTAGTTTTTTCTGTGTAAATATGAACGACTCCAAGAAAATGCGTGCTTGCTTTCATTTTATTGTGCTTTTAAAAAACGATTTGCTTTGACGGATTCCGTATATATTGGTACCGGTACCGTACTATTGTGGGTTCAGCAGGACTTTTTCTCGACGTAAAGTCGTAGAACTTTATGAGGCATTTGATTTGGTCTGACCGGCGCGGCGGTATGACTCATCGTTCTTACTCTGCGTGGGAATCCCATGCCGGGATGATTATGTGCGAAAGGATTGCTGGACTCCTCGCCGCCGTAGGGTGGTTCACGTCACCGCTGCTCGGTTACGGCTTCCTCTACAATAAAGTCCATGCTTCCGAAAACAAATAACTAACTAACCGTATACCCGACACGGAATGGTACTGGTAACCGGACGAGAGGCCGTGGTTCGCCGTATGGACTATGGTTAAGCCGTCTTATTGGTTTTCCTCTCTCCCAGGATACCAGTAAATATGTAAATCCTATCCTGGTCGCAAGCCCATATAGAATCGATAAAATATAACATAGTAAAAACCAAGACATTGCGATTGACAATTTATTCCAATTATAGCTCGCTTGTGATCAACATTCTAACTTTCTCTAAGAATGATTGCTACCTGTGTCCCAACGGCTTTCACGTAGAATACCAGTCAATGGATGTATTGAGCATCTCATATAAGAGCAATGAACAGAAAAGCTTTAATGTTGACAAAGTTTGTAAATATATTGTGAGAAATCTTAGGACTTTTAATTCAATAATATTACCATACTTAACAATTACAAAAGTTGTTTAATTAGTCAAGATTCATAGGAAAATCATAACTCTGATGATAAGCTTGAAGATAAATAAGCAAAGTATGATTAAAAACAATACTAAATCAATATTCAGTTGTTATAACAAATAATACCAGGACTGAGAAGTTACTGGTAATGTATATTCGATAATTTAGCGCGAAGCATGGAAATAATGCTTTGAGGAAATTTTTTTTTCTGTCAAAACATCAGATAGAAATTGGTGAACTGCATTGAAACTGACCAACTCTCGCTGAATAAATGAAAACAATCATGATAAAAACTTTGCACTACTGTCTGTGAAGTTCCACTTTTAATTATCAATTTCGGGAATTATCGTAGCTTTGATATTTTGATCAAAGACAGAGAAACAATGTCATAAATTTTCTTTCAAGCATGGACATTGTGGAGTGTTGAGCGAATTAATGAGCAAGATGAAAAAGAACCTGATAACATAACAATATTACTTATGTGGAAAAGATAATAATTTTAATGTATATGATGATGAACTTTTATAAAAATATCCAGAGTTATCAAAGGAAAACACACTGTAACTTTGAGTTATACAATCATATTCATGCTGCCAATAGATAGAGGGCAGCTGGTTTGCCATCCATCCACTTGAAACATATATATCGAGCTGTATAAGTAATATACTCATATATACATGTTCAAGCGGTTCCAAAATTTATCACTTTGGGGTCTTCAAGTGCATTACAAAGTACATCCTTGGATCTATATATTATCCTTTGGGGAATTGTCTATCATCATAAAAACGCCAGAGTAAACTGAAGTGCACTCTGCTAGGTTGATATGGAATGTCAACCAATAATATTCATACTGAGATGTGACAGACGAAATCACATTATAAAAAGTAAGGTGCAGTATTCCTGGGAGGTATCACACGCATATTATCTGGAACAGCCCTGAAGAGTTTAGCTTCTCTGTCATCAGGTGTACGTACAAGCAAAATGGAAGCTATATTTCCACATCTATAACAGTAGTTAGGCGCAGACCAGACAGTGACCAATTTCTCATCGAACATATACTTGTACCCTTCATGTACAAGTTGATGAGCACGACAAATCAACTTCAGGTTGTTGAGATGAACGAATTCGTTGGTCACTTTAGATCCAAAAAGCCAGCCGGCACCTCTTGGACTTATTGCCCATGTTTCCACATCTTCAGGGTCAGACCATACAAGATCACAGAACGCTCCTTTGTGAGGAATCTCTTGCTGCCTATCGATGGTGCGAATCTGATCCATGGTTTTCACATCTGGAGATAAACCACCATGTACGCACAGAATACATGAATCAATAATAGCTGCAACTGTGAGAAGGTCAAAAACTTTGGTGCAGTAACGCCAAGCATTAGCATTTCCATATTTCATTTGGCATTCATCATAGAAGCCATAAACTTGCGTGATCTGTCTGCTTTCATGATTTCCACGAAGAAGAGTAATCTTGTCTGGCCATTTTGCTTTCAGGGTTAATAGATATGTGAATGTTTCCAAACTGAAGTATCCACGATCGACAAAATCACCCATAAAAATGTAGTTGGTTTCTGGCACCTCTCCGCCAGTCCGGAACAGTTCTAATAAATCATAAAACTGTCCATGAATATCCCCACAAACAGTCACAGGTGAAGAGACAGGTTGAACATTGGATTCTTCAAGTAGAAGGTCACAGACATAATCACATAATTTTTTCAAATCATTTTCTGGAAGATATTTACAATTCTTTTCAATTTCAATCATACGATCCAGGTCCAAGGGTCCCATGATAAAACCTAAAAACAAAATAAACTAGTGTCTTACTGTCTTTATCTAAATGCAATTATCAGACAAAATATGAATGTTTAAAATGATAGTATAAATTTACAGAAGACACGTTATCAAGTTATGTATAGTATCTGTGATATAGATACAGTCGTAAACATCAATTTTGAAATGCTGTATATGCCATATAAATAATCGAGGCGGTGGAGTCAGTATGGCCATTTTAAACTCACAGCAATTTTGAGCCAAATTATAAATTTGGAGAGTCAAGATCTCAAACTTTTAATAAAAGTAATAGGAGACAAAACTTTCCTCAGTTTTTCGGTTCGCTGGCAGAGTCAAAGTTCTTGTTAAAAATCAATCAAAGACTTTTCAGAAGCCTTGGAGTTCCCTCGACTCCATCTCCGTAGCATTTCAAATAAGAAGTTTTATCCTGATCATATCAAAGTTATCAGTATTTAATATAATTGAACAAGAAACTTACGTGGTCTGTTATAAAAAGCTTCTAGAAAAAGCTAGAAATACTAAAATTAATTCAATTTTTATAGTGTCTGCAAAAAAAAAGTTGTACAATGATTTGGCAGGAAAAAATGCAACAAACATTAGTAATTATGTGATTGAAATCTCAAACTGTTCAGAAAACAAAAAGAACCTAATGAGAGCAATAGGAGAGAAATAAGAAAACAAAAAGATAGTTCATAACAGGCACATAATGATCATCAACATTGGCAGCAGAAAAGAAACAATGAATGTACCAACACAAAAAATTATCACGAATAAATCTACTTATGATTTTGTATTTAAAAAATCAGAAATTTTGACGTGTTATTTCTGGTCTGAACAAATTTTTTGACAGTACAACTAATGGTACCAGTCCCATTATTAAAATCATACTTAGAATCAAATCCCAACCTTATTTCAAAGATTGGGTTGAAAGACTGCTTTTTTCTCACTTCAGAAAATATAAGTATTATAAATTTTGTAGAAATAAGATTTTCTTTGGATGCATGTACAGGAATACTTGTTTCGTAGTTCTGACTTGTATAAAACAAAATTCCATCAAAGTAAAAGGATAGGAGTTGACTAATGTGTCTTTTAGCTCCTTTAGAACGATGACTTGTTCAATAATGAAAATCCAGGAGACATTGACTTTCCACTGATTGAGTCAATAAAATGTTTATCTTGAGAGAATATACTTGGAATAGAAATAGGGCTTGCACTCATCAGCTCATTATCAATATGATGATCTTCATCTCTCGATTCATCTTTGAGCTCTGGTACGCGGCCTTCCCACTCTTGGTATATTTCTTCAATCATATGACTTGAACTCTTAAGCAAATATGGATCAAAAGGAAAAAAGCAATCAAGTGGGTTAACCGAAGCAGAGTTTTTTGATTGACCACACACAGGTAAAGTCATTCTGTTGTTTCTTTCTATTATTGTGTCACAATAGACAAGTTGATGTTGTCTCATTAGTGAAGAAAACATACCAACCACAGTGCTTATGCAAAATTTCAATGGATTCAGACGGCTCATAATAATATGTTCTAAATTGAATTTGCGCATTATTTCAAATCCTTTTGGTAGGTCTAATATCTGTTTATGCCTGAATATAATAATATAAAATACAGCTTGGCACGCACTATAAAATGCTCCGTGGCGTACAGTTTCATGTAGAGGTCCGATATAGTCGTATAAACCTTCTCTCTCTTTGATATAGCAATGTATCCATACAGTCATCGCATTTAGTATTGTCAGTACACAATTCAAATGTAGATATTTTGCTCTTGCAAGAAAGCTAGCTATATATGACAATGACGTCTGTCGTAATATCATAGGTGCACTTGGATCTTGAACCTTTCTCCATAAATGGTTGAGAAAAGTCTCAGAAAATGATTTTTCAAAACTGCAGATATAGAAAATTAGGAATTGAATATGACTGCTATCATGAATTGGAAGGATCACTTTGTCAAAAATAGAGACTAATTCTTTTAATAGAGTGTCTGCTTGGAGTGATAACTCCCCATTTGAATAACAAATATCATGTATGAACTGAAGTAGAGTTTCCATCACAATATCCAATTTGTCAACAAAACCTTCTTTTTTCATTGAATTATCAGTTTCCATTTCAAATAAATCATGTTCTTCAGAAGTCATTGATTTCTTTATAGATTCTCTTGGACAGTGTGTATCTAGTTTTAAGGATTTACTTATGATAAGTTCCAAGATTTGCGGTCGCAAGTTAACCCGGTATGTAGTCAGAAAAAGCAAATTCTTGATGTACCAATCCAATGCTTCTTTGTCCTTTTTTATAAAGGGATAATGTGAAACTAAAAGTGGCAAAACTATGTTAGTTGTCAATGGTATAAGGGTAAAAATTTTCTTTAATGTGCCATGGATAATATGAAATATTTCTTCCTGGGGCACACATGTCTCACACGATGTGAGATTAGACAAGCAAGATGCAGGAATAAAATGAGTAATAAGACAGTTCAAAACTTGGAGTTGGTGAACAGAATTAGCAGCAACAAGTTCAAGTAGAAATTTCTGAAATAATTCGATTACTTCTTTTTCTCGATTGACCCATCTTATGCTCAGCATTCGATGAACTAATTTCTTTTGATCCTGATCAAGGATATTAACAATGTCAATAAATTGTTTCAACATTTCACTGAGATGACTTGATTTGATTAATGGGTCTTCTATTTGTTGTACAATCAGCATGTAATTCTCAGGAATTCCACATTTATTTTCTTCTATAACATCAGCTAGATGTCCACCGAATCGCACAGACTTTTTACCGGAGCTCTTCATATCAGTCATTATTCAAAAACTTAGATTGTACAATATATCAAATATAAGTATAATCTGGAAGAAAAATTTAAGAAATTATATAAGAAGTACATGGATAATTGAAATTCAATTTATAATATTCCAAAGTAATATTCTGGACCGTTTTCGTTTTAAGGGACAACTTCATATATTCGGTAATCTTTATCAAAAATGCGGTGATATTATCCACATAAATACAGAGCAAAGTTATTTGAAATCCATGGTCACATCATCCACTCAGCAAGCATAACATTGCAGTCGTAATTTGTATCTGAAAATGGAACCCAAAGAAATACACAACAAAATCGCAACCTAAAAATTAAATCTAATAGTAACATCTCTGAATTTAAAGCAGTATAGATTTCTGGTAATAGTATTCAAAAATCAAATTTCATAATGTATATTTCATTAAATATCAAAACAATATATTATTTTTCAATTATTGTGCCAAAGTTGTTTGTTTGAATCTATAATATACATCATACTATAGTGCTCTAGCAATAAAGCCATAATATGGCTGTTTGCTCTAAGCAAACAATAATGAATAGCCTAAAAACTTTGTATGTAGACAATTGTATTTTCAAAGAATTGCAACAGATTTACTCAAGAGGTAACCGTATCACTGGTGATAATAAAGGCAGAGCCATTTCATTAAGAACAGTCAACCCAGGTGACAAAGTTCAAAAACAAAAACAAGAAAATCTGTATGAAACATTACATTACCGAATGACTTGAAGGATTGTGAGAAATGAATAATGAGAAATGTTAATCTACTAGTTGTGATTAATTTGTACAATTTCTCCACAAAGAAATAACTCAATATGTTAAATTACTTGGCAATAAAGAATTCATAGAATAGACTTTGCAACATGGATATTGATGTGATTTTGCACGAAATAGATGTCACATTGATATCTTGAATGTCTTTGCATTTTGATAAAGATAACAATGGCCTTCAAACTTTTGAAATATGATTATGGTATGTTTTGAAATGAACCAGATTGATAGTTCACTGATCAGTCACAACAGCTGCTTTAACAATTTGAGTCAGCAGATCGAACTACGACACAATATTTCAAGCAGCATATATCAGCTATCTTCCATACCCTTATGTGACGAAGTGAAGTTACATTTTCATTCAACGAAGAACATTATACAACCTCATGATTCAGCTTCACTTTTCACTTCGGAATTTTCTCCTTCCTCCATATTTTCCTTTTTATTATCCTCAACAAGAAATTTCTCCCAGTTTTTTATTCGAACTTCTCTTTCTTTATCAGTCTCTTCGATTTGATAGTCCGTAACACCATCCCACGGATCAACAGAAATTTTTCTTTTTGCAAACCATCTTTCATTCATTGCATCCCTACATTTTGTAGCTTCATCAAAATCTTTAAATGAAACGGAACAGACTCCTTGAGGATGGCGATCAAATACAAGAACCTTTTTCACATCCCCAAATTTTTCGCACTCTTTGCGAAGATCGTCTCTTATTTCTGTAATAAGTACAGCATCTTCTTCAAATTCTTTAGGATCGAACATATTTTTAAATATTAGTACTCTTTCACTTTTTTTTACAGCGTCTTTTCTTGCTAGTTTCCAGTCAAGTAGCCTTTCTTGTTCTTTGTGAAGTCGTGCTTTTTCCTTTTTGCTCAGCATTTTTGGTTTTTTTGATGGATCATAAGATCCCTTGAGTTCAAAACTTGCTTTTTGTACATGAATTCTGTATCCCCCACGCACTAAAGTATCATCTAATAATTGCATTGCCAAATCTAACGATTCTTTTTTTAAATAACAACATAAGCCATCACCTTTTAAATTACCCTCCTTGTCTTTATACAACTTCAGTTTGGGTTTACCGGTATGAGGATTTGGCATTATGATTCCACACTTTGACATGATAGAACCAAACTCTTCTAAACTTACATCTGGTGGTAAGCCACTAACATAAACATTTGTGTTTTTATCTTCCGTAACTTTAAACCAGGTAGGATCAGACGCTTTCCTTTTGGTGTCTTTCTTTGTATTTTCTTTTTTATTTTTAACTTTTTTCTCTGCCACCCATTCTTGTTTATTTTCATCCCAATTGTAAATCACTCCAGTCTTAGGATCAGTGTATGATGTCGTAGTAAAATTTCCATGCCCAGAAGGATACATAACCTGACCATCCTCTGAAACCCAAAGTTGTTTTTCATAATCCCATTTATAAAGTATTCCCGTGTTCGAATCTGTATATGTATGTTCAGTCTTACTATCATTTTGCGACTCGTTTGTACTAGTAGACTCATTATTACTGTCTTTGTTAGTTGAATCGCCATTTAGTTCTATTGAAAGTTCTAAATCCCATTTGCCTTGGTCACTGTTCCATACATAAATAACCCCATTTGGATCTGTATATTTGCAAGGCTCTCCATTTTCATTATGTTCTGGTTCCCATTTTGAAGTTTCAGAGTTGAAATGAAAAGTTACTTTGGTTACAGGATCTGTGTAAGAAGTGAATTTATGTGATGAATCTACTTCTGTTCCAGCGTCATAATTCTCTTGATATTTCATCATCAATTCGACACTTAATTTAGGAAACCAAGCCTTTTTCTTTTCGTCCCACTCATACTCCGTTCCATCTTCATCAACTTTGACCTTTGCACCCCCGCCTTCTTCCAGAGTATTTTCTTCTTTCTGAAGTTCTATCTGTCTCTGAAATTCCTCGTATGTTTCAGGATTCATTGCCATGACTGCGTTGATTGATTGTACAAGTTATGTAATTCAGGGTACCGGTAATCTAAATATATGATAAAGAAGCATTTGTAGGTTATATATATTGAAACATTATCTGTAAAGGGGCCAGCATAAATACTGACCAAAACGGATGTGATCCGCAGAATTATAGACAATATTTCAATTTTAAAAAATCTATTGAATCATTTATCCATCACATACTCGATATAAAAAAATATGACAAAAAGCTTCAATATATTGTTTTATAACCGAGGATGTCACTTCCAATTCATTCTGCTCCTAAGTCCTAAGAACAAATAAATGATCCGGGTTTATGCTTTTAATTTACCTATGGGAAATTTTCTTTATTCTTAAAATTATATCTTATCAACATATTTTGTTTTCAGGCTGAAAGTTTAATGCTATAACTATGGGAAATGAAATATACCGGTAACTATTTTTTTTATTTTTAAATTATATTTCAGCAGCATATTTTTTTTTCGGGCTTCCAGGAAGATATTTCAGCAGTAGATTAATAGTCTATAAAATTATATGAACAAATGTATAGAAGCTAGATTTGATGTAATATTGGCAGCAGTTGAAAAGATATAAATGGTAACAATTTCATGAGTTTTTATGTATATTCATAGCAATACAGGTATTAAATTCATAATCCCAAACAGTGTTGATTGTTCTATGACATAATAGATAAGGTATAATAGCTTAAAGGAAATGAATGTATATAAAGGCCAAGCAAGTCATATAAAAATAACAAGAATGAGTGAACGGCATATAGGCTACCCAGGTGAAATATATTCATAAATTATGCAAGACGTCATAAGCATTGTAATTAGCGATCACTGATTGATCAAAGTCAATTAATTTTAGCCAACTAGCAGCAGAGAGATTCTCTCGAGATTTGGGATCACCTTTCAAAAAAATTAAGGGTTTACGACCAGCTTTATCTAACACCTTCAGATATGAATTGACATGGGAATACGTGGACTGATAAAAACCTGGTATATCGCATGCAAGAAAATGTAAACGTGGACAATTGGACTATTACGGCCGCTGTTCACGATGCTACGAATCTAACAGTCTATTTAACCCTTTTGTCGCAGACTCGCAGTCGTATGTTCCGCCGTGTAGGTTATAAACGTCGTTAAACTCACTGCTTGCACTCACTGAACCTGGAAACCCAAGAAACTGTCCAACACAATGTTTTTGATAGTTACTCCAAATCGTGTTCAAAATGACCAAATGGAAATAACTTAGATGTTATGAAGCGTTCCAAGATAGTGTCTCAGTGGACTGATGAAATGTTCCAATATAAAGTCTCAATGAATTTGAAGGAGTGTGTAAACTGCAATTAAAATAAGAGTAAAACTATAAGCAAAACACAACAGTGATGATCTAAAAATACCAGAGACATTGGCAAAATACAGTATTAGGCTACCGGTACTTGATCACACGATTAAGGAAGGCATGAATAACTTATGAAATAAAGAGCATACAATAACTTGTCCACACAGTGTTTTACTTATTCTATACTAATATTGAATTTGGAATGAAAATCATATATTAAGCAAGTAGGAACACTCAGCAAATGAATTCCTAAATACAGAAATATCTTCACATAAAATATGACTTACCGATTTTTTCGGCTAATAATATCACAAACAAGCAGGTACTTCAATATTAAACATTTAAACAATCTTAACTGTATGGAAAAAGAATAATATATTAGACCAAATCAGAGAAGCACAAACCCTGTCAGCCTGTTCAACAAAATCCTGAAAATGGCGCAACCACGAGACAAACTGCGCAACAATCTAAAGTACCACAATGAGGCGACAAAGGGCAATAAATAAAATGACGGCTGAGCCATCATTTACATGGCCTCCCCTAGAAATGCTATTTCTATACTAAAAAAATTACAATTTCACAATGTCTATTTCTGGCTCCCTCGTCGGGAATCTTCTCCCGTATCTCCACTCTCCAAGAAAAGAATTCAACTTTTGGATTGGAACGATCAAGAAAGAGAACATCCTTTATACGCTTTCCTCTCTCATCGAGTGTTGAATCTCCATGTGAACTCGAACTCTTCGAACATGACCATCTGCATCGGGATAGACATCAACAATTCTTGCCATCTTCCAACTGATTTCTTGTGTATTTTCGTCAACGACTATGACAATATCAACCGAATTTTGAAGGGTCACGTTGAACTTTGTTCCACTTTTGACGAACTTGGAGTGATTGTAAATATTCTTTTACGAAATCGAATCCAAAATTCATTGGCTAAATGCTGTACTCTCCTCCATCTTTTACGCCGAGTACAAAATCTTCCCTTCCAAATACACCTGGTGGTGGTAATACAAGTCCTTGTCTTCGCAGTCAACAAAATGATTAGCGTCAGAGGGCAGTGGTGAATCAGGACATGACAAAATTATCCACAACTAGAGGACGTCCATTGACAACTGCTTCAGCCTCTGCCATCAGAGTGCGAAGAGAATCCTCATCTAGTTGCCTTCCATTCTTTTCCAGGATGGATGAAAGAACTGCTCTAAATACTACGAATTTGACGTTCCCAAACACCTCCCTGATAACTTGCAGCGCTGACATTGAACTTGAATGGAAAATAATCACAATTTTCTCGAAGTAAACTTCTTGAATTTTAGAATGATTCATTTCCTGTAGACCCTCTTTTAATTCTCTTGATGCACCAACCATGTTGGTTCCACGGTCACATCTCAGTTGTCTGATTGGCCCATTTCTGCAAATAAATCTTCTTAGAGCATTTATAAAGCTGTCGGTTTCTAAACTTGGGGCGATTTCAACACGAACAGCACGCGATGCCATACATGTAAATAAAACTCCATATCTCTTGAGTTCTTTTCTCCTTTCTTTGATAATGAAGGGGCCAAATAAATCTGTAGCACAAAATGAAAAACATGGACTATCATTCATTCTGTCTTTTGGTAAATCAGCCATTTTCTGTTCTTGAAATGTTCCTCTAAGTCTCCTACATTTTGTGCAGTGATGTATGAAACTTGAGACAGCAGCAATGCCAGAAACTATCCAAAATCCAGCAGATCTTATTTCATTGAGTGTAATTCCACGTCCTTGATGTTTCACGACTTCATGATAATGCTTGATTATCAGAGTTGTAATATGATGAGACTTGGGCAATATGACAGGATGCTTCAATTCTTCAGGCAAACTTGAATCTTTCAATCTTCCCCCAATTCTCAACAATCCATCAGATCTTATACATGGATCAAGCTTGAATAATGATGAAGATTTCTTTACAGTATCGAATTTCTTAGGTTTGTTCAATATTTCGATTTCATCTGGATACACTTGACACTGCATAAGTTTTAAAATTATCTTCTTAGCATCTTCCATCTCTTGTACAGTTATTGAATCAAAAGATGAAGTCAAATTCTTGTTTCTACGATTTTGAAGAATTTTCAGCCATCGGCATAAAATGACAACAAATCTCTGAGCTTTGTATAAACTTGAAAACATTGACAATCTCTCCAAAAGACTTGGGAAGGATTGCTCTTTTACTTCAGTCAAAAATGTCACAGAATTACGTATTTCTGGATCCGAAGCATCAAGCTCTTCGAATTCATGTGAAAACTCTTTTTCCACTGTAAGTGGTTTCCACAGAAAATCAGGTCCCTTTAGATATCGATCATGTTTGGTCAGTAGATCTTTTGGACACAAACCTCTTGAGGCATCATCAGCTGGGTTGTTCTTTGTATCCACATAAAACCATTGATTTGGCTCACTATGATCACGAATCTCTTGAACACGGTTTGCCACATATATGTGAAATCGACGAGAATCATTTGAAACATAACCAAGAACAACTTTACTGTCTGTCCAATATGTTTCCTTGATGTTGACAAAATTCAATTCTTGTCTCAACATGACTCCAACCCGAACAGATACAAGTGCCGCAGTCAATTCCAATCGAGGTATCGTGATAGGTTTCAATGGTGCTACTCTAGACTTTCCCATCACGAATGAACAATGAATTTGATTTTTCTGATTGGTCAGTCTTAAATAGGTGCACTGGCCATATCCACGAGTCGAGGCATCACTAAAGTGATGTAATTCAGTTTCCTTGATTTCACCAAAATTACTTGGCTTGAAACATCGTCGAATTTTTAATTCGGCAAGATGATGAAGATCATTTCTCCATCGCTCCCATCTTGGTTTCAAATTATCTGGAACGGGTTCATCCCATTTGCACTTATCACGACACAACTCCTGAAGAATGCGTTTTCCTTCTAAGACAACAGGAGCAATAAATCCGAACGGATCATAGATTGAACATACTGTTGACAGAATTCCACGCCTTGTGAAAGGACGATCTTTCAAAGTAATACGAAAAGTGAAACTGTCATCCACAATACACCATTGAACACCCAGTGCTCTTTCAACTGGTATTGGGTTACTTCCAAGATCTAAATTCTTGAACTTTGTCGAGCGATCATTCTCATCAACAGCTTGTAAAACTTCATTATTATTAGACACAAATTTTGTCAAATTGAAACCACCTTTAGCACACATTTTCTTACTTGCTTTGATCAACGATGTTGCTTCTTCAACACTATCAACTGACTTTAAACCATCATCAACGTAGAAATTCTTTCTCAAGAATTGAGCTGCTTCTTCACCAAATTCCTTTTCATAGTCATCTGCAGTCTTTTGAGGACAAAATTACAGCACGATGGACTCGACGTAGAACCAAACACCATGACTCGCATCCTGTAACAACTAGGTTTTTTCGTGCAATCTCCATTGTCCCACCACAGAAATCTGACAAAATCTCTGTCTTCTTCGTTAATTCGAACTTGATAAAACATTGATTCGATGTCTGCCATGAACGCAATTTCCTTTTCACGAAATCGAGCAAGTACTGATATCAGTGAGTTGGTAAGATCTGGTCCTTGTAGCAAATGCCCATTTAAACTTTGACCTTCAAATTCAGAACTGCAATTAAATACAACTCTGATCTTGTTTGGCTTACAAGGATGAAACACTCCATGATGTGGAATATACCATACATATCCATGATTACCATTGTCACCATCGGACAATCTCTCAGCATATCCCTTTTCAATTGCATCTTTCATGAATGCACAATAAAGCTCTTTAAACCTTTCATCTTTCTCAAAACGCTTCTTAATTCCTTGTAAGCATCTGAGAGCTAATTGCTTGTTGTTTGAAAGCTTCACTTCTTTGTTTCGAAAAGGGAGAGACATCTCATAATGACCATCCTGTGTCCTGTGAATACTTGATTGACACTTCTGCAAAAATCTACGATCTTCGATAGAAATAGGTTTGTTCGATGTACCATCAATTTCTTGCTTTTTGATATTATTCTTGTGCATGCATTCAATGAAATCTTGTTCGAAACTTCTCAAAATCATGCAAGGGTTAATGACTTCTTTAACTTGATTTATAGGTACAAATTGAGGAGAAATGATGTCAGGTGCATACAGGTCATGTGATATCACTTTGTTACAAGTTTTGGTAGCATATCCACCAACACATACTGCATCAATCATTCCAACAACTCCCCATCCTAATGCTGTTTTGATAGCATAACTTTCTGTGTCGGCATCTGATATAATTTGCAACGGACGCAATGCTTGCATACAATCAGTGCCAATGAGTATACCAATATCAATATTAGGATCACAGTCCGGGATTTCATCTAGAATATCTTGGAACTTTGTATACTTGTTCAGAACCCTCTTGTCTATAATTTGATTACGATTTACTGGGATGGAATCTCTTGTGTAACATGGAGGCAAATCTATCTTGTGGCCATTACAACCTAAAATTTGCAAGCCCATAATCTTGTATGAATCCACCACAGTCGAACTGGTCATAGTAGAAAGGTTCAATCTCACCTTAAATCCATTTGATTCCAAGCTTCGTCTGACATCATCCGAAATGAATGTGGTATCAGATTGTTCATCTAAAATTGCATAAACTTTTAATTTCTTGCTTGGTCGATCAGCACAAAGTATTTGTATTGGTACAATCCTTGTAGTTCGAATAACTTCTCGAGCTTCTGATGCATGACAGATTATACTTTTCTTACAATCAGCATTCGTTAAACTATTTTCTTCATTTGAATCTATCTTCGTCTTGACCTTGCGAACGAATTCTTCTGAATGTATGGCAGTAGGGTGACCTTTACCACAAGTTTTGCAAGTCTTTCTTTTGGTGCATCCTTTCGAACGATGACCTTTTCTTAGACATGCAAAACATATGCCATTTGACTTGATAAATTCGATTCGGTCATTGTAAGATTTCTTGAGAAAAGCTGTACAATCATTCAGATCATGTGATCCTTTACAACACACACACGAATCTGAGAAATGGGTAGTTTTCGACTTAGCTGTTTGTCGAGAACTGTGAACTTCTTCGCTTGCATCAATAGAGTACGAGTGAGAACCTCTATTATAAGTCCTTCTTCTAACGGGTACATTTGCAGCTTTCTTATTGTTAGCCACAAGTTCATCAAGTACTCCAGTTCCATACAGAGGAAGTGTAGTTACTTTCGATATTTTCTTGACATGATCACAGAATTCAGAAAATGGTGGAAAGCTTCCATGTTTTCTGTGATATTCACATGCATTTGACGACCATCTATCTCTTGCCGACTTTGGCAATTTCAAAACAAGAACTTGGATTAAGTCTTCATCATCCAATTTCTTCAGTAACGTAGAATTTTTTACCAATAGCTTACAACTAGTAAGAAAATGACAAAACTCACGCATTCCTTTTCCGCCATCATTCATAGGTATGATAGGCCATTGCTTCAGTCTTTGCTTGTAAGCTCTGGATATTGTAGCCGAGTCGCCATACCACTCCATTAGTGTCGCTTTTGCTTCATTATATGCGTTTTCATCATCTATGCCCATGAAACCTTCAATAGCCTTTCTTGCATCTCCAGTCGTATACTTCAAAAGATAACGAAGACGCCTGTTAGGGTTTCGAACATTTCTTTCAATAAGATCTTCAAAATCTCCAAGCCATATAGGAAATTTCAATAAATCACCATCAAAAACTTCTGGTTCTTCATTTGGCAATGAAGCCCTTTGTTGAATATCAACAACTGTTTCAACTAGTCTTTTAATTTCTGAACTACTAGCGCCATCTGCCGATGGGTTTTGTGGTGCAGTAGACAAATTCAATGGATTTGAAACTTCGTTTTCAGCAGTGTTCGAATAAGCAGGATTTGCATTCATATGATTTGTAACAAATGGTACAGCTGTATTTTCAGGTGCCGGTACCAAATTTTCATTCGTTAAAGCAGTTTGTTCAGCAGTATGGAATTGATGCGGACTTACTACAAAAGGTTCGTTCGGTGCAAAATGTGTCACATCACGTCTACTAAAGCTATCATTTTCACAATCAATTTGAGCAAAAATATTCTCTTCTGCTTCTGCTTTAGCAATTTCCTTTTGCAGATTCAGTCTTCTCTTGTCAGCTTGTAATTGTATTTCAGCTTGTTGTACGTTTGCTTGTAGCCTTACAGCTTCAGCTTTGAGTTTTGCTTCTGTTTGTGCTAATTCTGATTTCAATTTTGCCTCCTCTTGTGCAATTTTTACTTCAGTTTCAGCAAAACTAGCTTCTGCTTGTAATGAGGCTTTCTTGGCAGCTATTTCAGCCAGCCTAAACGCCACAGATGAACTCGATGATGAAGAATAAGATCTATGAGAATATCTTGAAAGACTGGTATGTACAGAACTGACATCTTTATCAGTCTCGATGCTTCTAATTTCTTCAATCGCTTTAGCACGAAATTCTTCAAACAAATGTTGAGCATTTATGAAAATATCATTTTCTTCATTAATAGCATTGGCATCAACTAACAATGCTACATACTCCTTATGTGCTGTACGATAGCCATGAAAACATAATTCGAAGGTTTTCAAATCGTCTTTTATAGTACGCAATGAGACACCATCATCAATACTTTTCAGGAGCTTCATTCTTATTTTTGAAAACAATTCAAATTTCGACTTACACCTTTCCAGAAGCATTTTAACTTGATATTCTTGTCCTTTTTCTGTAAGTGTTCTGCTACGTTCAGACCTTCTGGGATTTTCTCTCATATCATTACCAGAATTAGAGTCCACGTCATCACTTGCATTTGTAGATCTTGCTGTAGCCATGATTTATAATGTATATTCCCTTTTCTTGGTATAAATATCTTGTATTCACTGATACTGTGATAGGGTGAAGTTTCGCAAAATTACAATAACATGTTTATTGATCATCAATATTCTGATATTGTTCTACTGACTTGCTTAGTAGATCTTGAAATCTTTTACCAACTTGTTTGCAATAGTGTAAAATTGTTTACTAACTTGGTTAGTAAAGCCAAATCGTTTACTAACTTGGTTAGCAATCGACAAAATCGTTTACTATTACGGCCGCTGTTCACGATGCTACGAATCTAACAGTCTATTTAACCCTTTTGTCGCAGACTCGCAGTCGTATGTTCCGCCGTGTAGGTATAACCGTCGTTTAACTCACTGCTGCACTCACTGAAACCTGGAAACCCCAAGAAACTGTCCAACACAATGTTTTGATGTTACTTCCAAATCGTGTTCAAAATGACCAAATGAAATAACTTAGATGTTATGAAGCGTTCCAAAATAGTGTCTCAGTGGACTGATGAAATGTTCCAATATAAAGTCTCAATGAATTGAAGAAGTGTGTAAACTGCAATTAAAATAAGAGTAAAACTTATAAGCAAAACACAACAGTGATGATCTAAAAATACCAGAGACATTGGCAAAATACAGTATAGGCTACCGGTACTTGATCACACGATAAAGAAGGCATGAATAACTTATGAATAAAGAGCATACAATAACTTGTCCACACAGTGTTTTACTTATTCTATACTAATATGAATTTGGAATGAAAATCATATATTAAGCAAGTAGGAACACTCAGCAAATGAATTCCTAAATACAGAAATATCTTCACATAAAATATGACTTACCGATTTTTTCGGCTAATAATATCACAAACAAGCAGGTACTTCAATATTTAACATTTAAACAATCTTAACTGTATGGAAAAAGAATAATATATTAGACCAAATCAGAGAAGCACAAACCCTGTCAGCCTGTTCAACAAAATCCTGAAAATGGCGCAACCACGAGACAAACTTGCGCAACAATCTAAAGTACCACAATGAGGCGACAAAGGGCAATAAATAAAATGACGGCTGAGCCATCATTTACATGGACATTAAAACTTTTATACAAGAAACAACAAATCTAGATGGCCCTAATAAAGATGATTGAGATTTTAAGATCAATTTCTCAAGATGCTGACAAGTGCAAATTGAATCTAGCAAACGTTTGGTGATCAATAACAAGTCATGGTTTAAGCGCAATTCATTCAAATTCGGTAAATTCTTCAATACATTTCCCAAAATCCTTGGATATTCACATAGCGATCCTTCTCCTACATGACACAATGTTAATGAAACCAATTTATAATTCATGAAAATTGTGGAAATTTTGTGTACATTGTTCAAGTGTATATTCATTAGAGATAGAACTTGAAGATTTTGTAGTTCACCAATGCATTTTAAGGTTGCGATATCATAAACAGTATTCAAATGTCCCATCAGCTCCAATTTTCTGAGATTTGAACAGGTTTGGAGTGTTAGAGCAAAATCAGTGGTGATTTTAACTTCTGGACGAGTTCTTGAAATTCTCATACCTCTGGTACTACATGACTTGTCAATTTCTTTGCTCGTGGTCCCAGAAATTTGATCTTCTGTCATATTTGGCAAAGTAATTGATAATGCATTCAATTTGGGCATGCTTTTGACAGACGTGGCAAGTAGATTAAAATGTACTAATAGTCCTTTTAAATTGAGTTCTTCAACATTTTGGAACCTCGAAAAATTACACCAAAACATGTCAGAAATAGTAAAAACTGAACCTATATCATCTTCAAGATCTTTAAATCCAATATTTAAGTATCGAAGCTTTGGATAAACGCAATCATGCAGAAGAGCGTGTATAACATCACCATAACAATTCTTACACAGAGTACAAATTTTAAAATCTACATTCAGGTATTCAAGGTTAGGCAAAACTGAAGGTGTATTTGCTTTACGACAAGGTCGATCAGTGTCATATGGAATACCCCGCACAGTTGGAAGTATTAAATTCTTTAAATTTTCTAGTTTTATCAGTCCGTTGTTAGCAGCAAACCCATTTTCATCATAGTGAAGATTGGCATCGGAAAGCATTCGACAAATGCTTCCAATGTTATTATAATTTACAAAATCAATCACATAAGAATACATTAGCCCTGTTGTTGCATACGGTGAAAGATGATAATCCATGATAAAATTTCTCTGTTTTTCAGGTATATCAAATGAAACAGAACTTGCATCTTTTAATGCGAACAATTCAAAAAGTATTGATACATAAATAATTATGTTTGCTTCACCACATACATCAATATGCAGGGTGTCTAACTTTATATTTAATTTTTGAACGTTCAACCTATATAGCTCCCGTATATCTTCGACATAAGAGGATATTACCAAGCTCTTTACATTTGGCGTTTTGCACAAAACAGATTTCAACTGAATGGGAGTTAGAATGCATCCTCTCAAATCCAACGATCGAAGAGCTAGTAAATTTGAAAACTTTCCAAACATTGATGATGGAAACCAATGACAATTATGAAAGGATAATTTTCGAAGCCATGGCTTCGCATTTCTCAAGATTTGTAAGCATAATCGGTCGGACATAAAGATACAATTTTCAAAGTTTAATGAGAATGTCAACATTCGATCAGAGCAAAAAGAATGAAACTGTTTGTTTACAAACTGAATATTTTTCATTCGATCCTCGAGAGAAACATCTCGCAGTATCTTGATCCATATTTCATTCGGCAATTCACAAAATATGTTTGACATGAAGCTGTGAGGTTCTTTTACAGTACTGCAGTATTAATTTATTCTATATCTAGACATTCACGACGAAAAGGACATAAAAAATGGATATTGTTTATTTGTAGCTAGATAGTTTATTCAAATACTCCATAATATACACAAATTTAAAATGGAGAATTCTGGAGGGCAAGCAAAACCTTTAAAAAAGTTTAAAACATGAGAAATAATGAAATATCATGTGCCCGCCCACCAACACACAGACAAAAATAAATTACAAAAGACACAAACCTAGTTAAAACGAGGCTTGGGCCAGAAATAATCAAACAGAAGATACCAGAATGTATACTGGTATAGGAACTTCCGGGCTGTTATACTTTTGAAACATCTAAGCTATTGCAGTAATAATGACCAATTCAATACGGTATGCCAGCAATACGCTGTTAAGAAATGTTTACCGGTATTGTAGCGATACATATAAAAAAGCACTCAATTCAGCAATTTAACGCTTGACAGGGGCTATGCACGAAAGAGAACACTGATTTTATATCTAATTACTGAATTACGGTAGGTACAATCTGACCAAATGCTGATGTGTGGTAGCTTTTCCGGCTTTGATTAGTGGTAGTAACAAATAATAGGCTACAGTACTACTATTTTAATACACTACTGGCAGACAGAAGTACTCCCTCATCAGTAGGCTAATCGTGTTTTGATCCAGTTTCTGTCACACAATAATTAAGTTATCGACTCCAGCATCTAATTTTCTTTTGCTTGCATGTATTTTACCACTAGTATTGTCAAAAAATTATCTAATGGGTTACCATTTCAAATCCTTTAAACGGAATTAATTCTATTCCGAATGGTATAGAAAGAAATTTGCCAATAACAACTCGATCGTAATTAAAACTGTAAAGTTACAACTGTTACGTTTCGGCCCGGCATCACATTTATCTGTGTTATAATAGTAACGTTAGCAGAGCTGTCTGTTATTCAAGATCAAACTTTGGCATTATACGCAAAACAATAAGCGTTGTCATGAAATATAAGAATATGGTTATAGGTTTAACAAAATTCTTCATCAATGAGAAACTTGCTGCATCTTATCGTTTTTATAATCCTGGGATCATGTTGTGCAGTTTTCAGCATTGCATATGTACACTTAAACCCTGAAACAGCTTATTTTTAGATTGATTAAGGTCGGTTCTATCATTTTTATACCTAAAATATTGGTTTGTTCTTCGCATTGATTCGTGACTTGGTGGGTCACCAAAATAGGACAGTGGGTCACGCGGGTTAGTGGTTCGCCATCTCTGTTACATATAATTACCAATAATTATTCGATTCAGTTCATTTTTGCAGATTAGAAAATTAGACAGAAAATCAGAAAACAGCCAAAGTGGGTGTTTCAGCATTTTTTCATCCACTATCTTGAATCAAAATAATGCACAAATTTGGACATTTGAATCCTCCCATATAATATTTATCAAAGCTGGTGTTGCATAGAAAATGTCACATCATGATTGAGGTGACATGCGCTCCAAGATGGCGCACAACCTGAACTCAAGTTGTGTAACACGTTAGGGTTCAGGTTATGCGACATCTTGGAGCGCATACTTCAGGAGTACCCAATAATAAATCATTTCTTTCACTTGTTATCAATAAATTTAAAACTACTATCAGTTTGCATTTGAATCCTGGAATCTGTGAATATTGAGCGCATAGTACTTTTACTTTAAACTATTTCATCATATTTTACTGAATTTCGATATTCCCAAATTGTTGATATTCCGCATATCATTTCATTTGATTAATTTAGATTTGCATTTCGAATCATTTGCCAATATTGTATTTTGATTATTTTCTATGCAGCACCATTGCCAGAAATCAAAAGCCCATTGACATTTCAAAAATAAATGACATAAATGTCTCTTGAATATTGCATTCACACAAAACACATAGGCCTACACCGCCAATAACGGTACCTGGTTCATTGATGAACCAGTGCACAATGCTTTATTTCATCTCCCTGTCTGTCTGTGGCTGTGGACAGTCCAATATGAATAACCTTTCAACATAACTCCTTATACTTATTGGACACGTAGTGGACATAACGATCGTTTCAATATTATGTTGTTGTTGTTCTTGTTGGACACGTAGTGGACATAACGATCGTTTTAATATTATGTTGTTGTTGTTCTTGTTGTTGTTCTTGTTCTTTGACACGTTTTTAAAAAGTCGCTTTTCTCTTCGAATACTGGACCAATTGCTTTGAAATTTTCAGTGGTTGAAGATAAAATTTTTCTCCAGAAGGCTATTACTTTTTTTTTCGCTATGACGTCATCAAAATTATTGCCATTGGGTGGCTCTACGTGTCCATATATTTGAGCATAGCTCTCTTGTTCTTGTTATCCTTGTTGTTGTTCTTTGACACGTTTTTAAAAAGTCGCTTTTCTCTTCGAATATACTGGACCAATTGCTTTGAAATTTTCATTTGAAGTTGAAATAAAATTTTCTCCAGAAGGCTATTACTTTTTTTTTCGCTATGACGTCATCAAAATTATTGCCATTGGGTGGCGCTACGTGTCCATATATTTGAGCATAGCTCTCTTGTTTTCAATGTTAGTTTTCGATATTTTGTTCCAATTAATGGAACGGTTAGTTGAAACTTACTTACAGCGCTTACCTGTTCCTGGCTTTTCTCTGATTACAGGCTTTAAAATCAGAACTTCGTCAAAGGTGAGTTGACTTCGCGTAGCGATTGTTCGGAAACGAGTTGTCTCATCCAACGATTAACATACGCTTTATCGTATCTTTTTCAAAGATTTTGGTGCCGGAATAAAATATGAAATGAAGTAAGTAAATAAAATACTGTTTTTTGTTTAGTTTTCGAATTAGATTATGATTATTAATCATTTATGTGAATTTTCAAGGTTCTGAAAATCGTGGTTTTAATTACCCCCAGTTGAGAGAGAGAGAGAGAGAGAGAGAGTGAGATTTATTGCCACAAAAACAAAATCAACACTAATATAAACAATAATAGATAATAATACAATGAATAAAATATTTCATCAGTAATAAACAGCGATTGATTATTGCTTTGTGCGGGTCGGTGTGCAGGACCGATTAAGGTCATCTAGGCTCCCGACCCTTGTGTAAATGCTGTATATAAGGTTATCATGGCATAATATAGTAGCCTACCATGAGTAAATGCAAATGGGATTAAATAAAATATATATAAGATAAAGAAATGAGTGAATGAGTCGGCAATTTAAAGTTATTATTGGACACGTTTAGTGGCCATAACGATCGTTTCAAAATTTTGTTGTTATTGTTATTTTCTTTCGTCATTATCATTAAAAAATCGCTTTTCTCTTCAAATACTGGACCAATTGCTGGAATTTTCAGTGGTTCAAGATTGATTTTTTTTGCCAGAAGGCTATTACTTTAATTTATTCCCGAATTTTCTATGAATCTTATGAGATCTATGAGGTTTTTAATCCACCAAGCGTGACGGCTGACTGTGAAATTTCTTGCGACTGAAAACTCGGAACTTTTTGAGGGTACGGTACCGGTAACGTCAAATCAATCAATCAATCAATCGTTTATTTTGTCATCACAAAAAAACACGTTCAAACATAAAGTGACATAATGAATAAATTACAGTACTAATCATGTTTTTGCGTGACCGGAGTCGCGAGGGACCTAAGAAGGTCTTCAAGCAGCGACACCTACAGCGCTACAGGTTAGAATAAATATAATTAAATGAGGGATAAAATGAATAAATCCCAGGAATAAGTCACAACTGGTACAATTACCGGTACAGCGCCATTCGAAATGTATGCGATTATGACACAGTAAAACAGAAAATGTAACTTTCACGGAATAATTACTAACAACTAATAAAAACGCGAGGAAAGCAAGATAAAAGCACAGAAAAAATATAGGAAGGTAAGTTTGGCGGAATATGCAACTAAAAGCAATATAAGGCAAACAGTAAATCGAAAATATTTACAGCAAATGCAATTTAGGAGACACTTACGAAAAATTGATAAGGTCTAATGAGGAATACAAACAAACTATTACATCTATATAATGTACATATTGAAGAGGAAAAGATAAAACGGCCTGGTCATTGAAAATAATAGCGAACGTAGGTTAAGGGCAATAAGCTATCGCTCTCCACTCTGCACGATTTTTGAATCAACTATTAATGTAGCAGATACTCTCGGATTCCGACTCCTTGCACCTATTTTCGTTCGGGTTGATTGACGTTAGCCAGTGTAGGCCAGATCGTTACGGTAATAAAAAGTAAGCGATCTCAGTAGAAATTTCAATGGTTACCGGTACCCGTACTGGTATAAGAGGAGAGATATTCACCGATATATTTATTTTTTAGGTCTCTTTTAAAAGTGCAATATGCTAGGGATCTAATGGTATTAGCATTAGGTAAAGCGTTCCACAGTTTCACACCTATATATTCAATGGATTTCTGTGTTCTGCTCGAGGAGTACCTCGGAGTATTTGGTTGTATTAAGGTTTAGGAATACATGTTAATTAAATATACTTAGAATCTTCTGGCCTTTACTGTGGCAAGACCTTTGACCAAGAGTTCACGTCATATGTAAAACCGGCTAACTTCGGATGCCTTGTAACTTCGGATGAAATTTTCAATCATTCATATCTCAACTAAATTTCGTCGTATTGCGCTCCTGTCCGTTTCTATAGTAAGGCCTTACATATCTGAATCTGCCGTAGCCTCCAATCGCTCGATTTGATTTTTTATCATTCGAAAAATCATATTTTACCAAAAAAATGACACCGTTTTTTCGAGCGGCTCAAATCGTGACTTCTACAGACGCTACCTTCGTCAAATCACCGCCAAGCGCTAGAGAGCGTACACAATGTATACAAAAAAATACAGTGATCACAAGGTGTCGTACGAGATTCGAGTGAAATCGATTATTTTGATTTAAAAATTACATCAAAATATCGACGTTTTGATGATTACGTACAGCGTGACGTCAACGACGCAAATCCCGTTCTCTCTCTTCGTAGCCGACGTCACTTTGCGTAGCTCGTGCGTTACTCGCTGCGACATTTGAACGCCAGACATCGCGGCGCCCAGTTTTGTGAAATTTAAAAATTATGCTTATCCATGATCCTAGTCACTAAATCCTACAAAAACATCACTATCGTCTCAGTCATATGTTGTTTATTTAAAAATATGGGTATGCATACGCTTAATGCATATGAGATTTGTCGATTTTTGTTTTTGCATACTTCCTCCGACACCGATAGATACCGTAGCAATTGGTAATACGTTAGGCCTGAAACATGTATCTATACGATCATAATGATTAGATATGTCTGTTTACGATCGGCAGATGATAATAATATCTTTAACAGGTGAGCGTAGAACTCTACATAGATGCACACAGCAGGAGGTTGGACCACATACAGGTGAGGCGCAAAATGAAAAAAAGTGGCGAAGTTTCTTTTTGCCGTTTTTATCCGTTTATTGTCATTTGACTTTATCTATCTACCTGTGAACACATTACACAATTGAGGATGAATGGGTCGGTTGCGAAAGCTGCAGCGAAACACATTGGTTCCACAAGAACTGTTGCAAAGACCCGTCTAACCCATGTGGAAATGATTACAATTCTTGATTTTGCCAGCGTTTCCTTCAATTCATTTGTTTATTTTTAACTGTCGAATTTTTGTTCATACCTTACTTGTTCCATATTGCTTTTTGATTTCAATTTTTACTTTTGCCACAGTGTTTCATTCGATTCATCCGTTTATTTTTAATTGTCTAATTTTTGTTCATTCTTTACTTGTTCCATATTGCATTTCAATTTCAACCTACACCAGTGCTAGGTACTTTCAATTCTTCCGTTTTTTTTTTTTTGTTAATCCTTTTCTTGCATTGAAAATAAACGATCATAAAAGAACGAACTAGCATTTTGCAATAAATTAGGAGTAGTTAGTGAAATATATACGAGTTATAATAAAGGACACAAGAATAAATAGTTAAGCTTCGCGAAGCGGCAAGAGTAACGTCACGTACAAACGTCGGTATGCAACACGCAAGACAGGTCGTGGCGGCGTAAGGTCTATTCAGCGACGTTGTCACGCGTCATTGCTTACGCAGACATTTCTCTCTCACGACGAGTTGACGCAAAGAGAAAAGTGGCCATCCGAAGTTAGATAATTTTAGAATAGACGAATAAAGACAATAATTTCAATGAAAAAAGGCTTTGATGGATATGGAACCGACTTTATCAAGACGAGAATAGCCACAATGTATTATATTCCAAATTTGGCTTCAGTTGAACAACATGCGGCGGAGATATTGTTCAAAATATAGTGAAATCATCCGAAGTTAGCCGGTTTTACGGTACCGGTACCTTGGGACATGGAATGAACCTGATGAAGCCGATCTGGTAGAGGAGGAATGGATATTACTCTGCTTCGTAAAAAATTCGGTGAATGTCATGGGAAGTTTGTCATCAAAGTACTGGTGCATGAGTTTCAATACCTCAAATTCATGAATATGACCAAGTTTAATTATTCCACATCTGTGGTATAAAGGATCTAGTCTAGACCGAAATGGTGCGTTACATATGGATCGAACTGCTTTGTTTTGTAAAACCTCCAATCTTCGAAGGAGAGTAGTCGATGCGTTACCCCATGATATGATACCATACTGTAGATATGACTGGAAAAGAAAAAAATAGACCATTCGAAGGACTGGCATGGTAAGAAATTTTCTAAGTTTGTATAACATACCAGTTGCAAGGATAAACCATGCTTCGCTCTAGTCAACGCGTCCATATATTTGAGCGTTGCTCTCTTGTTATTAAAGTTATCAAAGGGCAATTTAGGATTTTGAGAGGTCATGTACCGATGTAACCGTAAATATATACTACTACTAGATGTCCAACTCCGCTCGCCGTATAA